CCTTCTCCCAAAACAATCCTTCCCAAGTTGGGAAATAGGTTCCCTTGAATAAAGTGTGTTCCAAAATACCTTCTACTCCTCCCAATGCTTAGATCATATCAGTTCTATAATTATTAAGATTCCACAATTTGCCATCATGTCTTTAATGAGTCCACCAGAATGGATTCTATTTCAACATCTAAAATTGTTTAAAATCTTATCTGACTCTCCAACCCTTATCATATGCCAATGTCAATCTATCCTTTTAGAATAATGTATTAATTCTAGGAATACCGTGATCCCAACTATCTTCCAAATCATCCAAAGTCAATCTCCTATTTTATACTTATGCTTCTTATCTTTTCAAAGCATATTCAGCCCAAACTCTTTGACTGTCTATAAATTCACTCTCCCAAGTTTAGATATATCTGTATAAATTAGGAATCAATTAATCTTCGTCATGACTCATACCTGCTCTGTAATGAGTGATGCCTGTATCGGTTTATTTTGAAAATCTCAAATCTGATTATGGAATCAAAATATGTCCCATTGATAACATACCCAAACCACCCAATTCTTTAGGAGTATAAAATACAACTGGTGGGAAACGAGAAGGCATCTTAGAATTCAAACCTATCTTAATTCTAGTTTATATCTTATTTTCACATTTGACTAATAGATCTAATAATTATTCAGTATGAACTGCTGATTCTCTATAATATGTCATTAATCCGATTAATGTTGTATTCCATTTATTAGCTATCTTTGTAAATGTTGTACTACCACTGGCCATCAATATTTATCTAATTCTGTTTTCATATTTCTTCATGCTCTCTTCATCCACTCTTAAAAATGCAACTGCAGTTATTTCCTTACTTGATTCATTTTGTAATTTCCAAACACCATCCTTTTCTGAGAATTCTTCTTAAGTTCCTCTTATCTTTGGTAGGATTCTCACTTCGAATCCACACATATTAAATAAGAAATTGGGATTGTCCTTTGAGTACACTGAAACAAAAGAGTGTTCCCATGCTAATGTTGTCAAACATCTTGGCAATCTATTTTTAATATCCCAAAAGACAGCTCTTCCTAAATTTACATCATGTTTCATTAATCTCATTCTGCAATCCTTTGGCCAGCATTTCTTATTATTATATCCAACAATGTTTTCATTATTAGGATCTGGATTCTCTGTCAAATATCTTTGTATTAATTCTCTTGCTTCTTCTTATGTAAATCTGAATACCATGAAAATCTTATCAATATATCTACAATACAATCTAATTGGATGTCTAATTTCTTATTAAATATTGGAATAAGTCATAAATTCATGAGGATTATTATATGGACCAGCCAAATCTTATGCTCTGTTTAAACCCAAAATCAATAAATCCAAAACCATACCATAAAATTGCATAATAAAACTAGTAAATTGAATTCCATGTAAAACACCATGAACATTCGTATGATTCATATCTTTGTAAGTGATGACAACATTATTCTTGGCAGTCATATAATCTGCTATGTTATGATCAACAATCAATCTCAATAATCTATTTAATAATGTCTGATCGATCTTTTCATACACCTTCTCAAATTTGCTTTCCAACAATACTACACATTAACCATCAGATACATCCCATATTCCATGAAGATTGTTAATTCCTTAACACCACTTATATACTAATAAAGGAGGGGGTTCACTATCACTTGGTTTAATCCAATTTGGGAAAAGTCTTCGTTTATCTGCTTCATAAAACAAATACTAATCTAGATATGCATCTGTGATCTTCTCTAAAGGTTCGACATCATAAACAGGCACTAAATGAGAATATAGATCCATAAACTCTAATCTCACTTCTTTGAACACTCTTTAAGTCAAAAGATGTCTCTTAACTCTGCTCAATGCCTCATGTGGATTGTCATATGCCTATTCAATCAATGCTAATTCTTCTCTTTAACTTTGATTCAATCTACTCTTGACTGAATAAGCTTCCTTTAATCTTTCTAAAGCCAACAAGAATAACTTAGTGTCGTGTTTGTAATTCACAGGTGGATAAGGAATATGAATGAACTTTCTGCTTTCTAACCATCTCACTAAGGCTGTGTAAATAGCAACTGCATCCTCGGTTGTTAAATAAGGACCATCCTTCATAAAGTTATGCTATCTTTCTTATTCTTACTTCAAAAATAGACGTGTTAATCTTCCCAAATTCTTTTTACATACTGTTTTATCAACTGTAGCTCCTCTTCTTATACGTTCCCTATTATAATATGCTGAATTTGTATAATAGTCAGCCTTGTATTTGACATATCTCAATATAATATTCTCTATTGGAGCAGGTAACCCTGGAACTTTCCATGGAATATTGGCTTTCCAACATCTCCAAGCTTCACTCAAGTGTTAAAGTATTGTCTTAGCTTTGTTGGCTCTCACTCCTTCAGGCATCATATCTATGATATCAGACATCACAGCTGCTCTTAATTCCAAATCAAATTGAGATTCAACTCTTTATTTAGTGACAGTCTTTGATATTCCTTTAGAATGTCTGCCCTCGAATGTACGAGCCAATAAGTTTCCTAACCATCTCTCTAACAATGGGATAATTCCCCTCAAAAAGAATAACCATACTCGCCACATAGGTGTCCAAAATCCTACTCCTGGTCCCTTACCAACTGGACCTGTATTGAAACGATAATAAATGACATGTTTCAAATCCTTACACATTCTAATCTATCTCATCAATCTGTATTTGTAACGATACATACCTGTCACCAAACCAACATGTGAGAATACATATTATAATCCATCAGCCAATTAAAAGGCATCGATATTACCTAATCTGTATTATACATGACTATCACATGCCAACTTCATTAATCTTAAAATTTCTCTGCACAAATGAAATGCATTACCAAATCTTGACTTCTTTCTTTCCTTTGTTGTCAATGTCTTTACTGGTTTCAATTAGAAATTGTAATCTAAATGCAAATAATTTAAGTTTTTTCTATGAATCAATAAATTCAACATATTATATCCCTAACGTGCTATCTATAGACCACATTCAACCCAATCTATCTCGGTTAATTAAAAGAACTTTGTTGCTTGAAAGGCCTTCAATAAATTTCGTTTATTTTAACACTTTGGTTTTCTTTTGTGAAGACTATTTAAAACCCAACATTTCAATAGTTTTTAATATGAAACTCTAACCTTAACTGGATATTAAGGATTGCATCTTTCCTTAAACCAAGGTGCAACTAGAGGTATATCAAAAGCTCTTCTAGTCTTACCTGTTCTTTGATTAAATGGAGTTGGAGCCCATAAGAGAGCAATAGAGGCAGTTGTTTATTCATCAGATAATTCTGTCTCACCTAATAGTGGTACAAATCCATCTCCTATTTCAATATCCAATTCACTATCATCTATCTGAACATCAATCTTTCTACTCTAAGTTCTGTATGCAGAAATAGGATTTATCACAGGGTCAAAATTATATGTTGGTATTTCAGGATTGTCTTATTTAATAAATACATTCGCTGGGTAATGATATGGGGCAATAGCAACACTTCTTGGTCTTGAATTATATAAAAATGGGAAGGCAATTTTGTATTCACTTCTAATTTATTGTCTAATAATAATCTTGTTAATGTCATTGAATTCATTCCAATCTTCATCCTCCTCAAATATGTCTCTATAGAGGGGTTCAAATTTGGGTCCTCCAGGAATAGCCATATTCAATGCTTTAGCAGTGTAAAGGGATTGAAGTTAAAACAAATAGAAGTAATTCTGATCAACTATATCTGACAATAATTGATTAGCCAATCTAAATAGATTCTGTTGAACTTCTAATGTTAATTACCAAGATCGATAACTTGGACCATTCAATAGCTTGGTATATCTCAAAGGTTAATGATCATAAAACCAATCAAAAACAGCATTGTCTTCTCTTTCATCCAATTCCATTTGAATGGGTTCCAAAGGTTCGACATCCAAGATATTATCTCCATAATCCAATGGGATTTCTTCGTCGTCAAATGGGGGGAATCGCATTCTTTTGAAATTCCTTCTGTCTCGCTTTTCTCTTCTCATCATCACCCACATTGTACCCCATTGAGCTGTATACACAGGTTCAATCACCTTCGGTATCTCATAACAAAATGTGATGCTCCCTGTAATGTGATAAAGAACCTTCACAGTTCTTACTTATTCCCATGGCATAGGCATATTCTCCAATAATTTATAAATTGCATGTGGCATATACTTTAATGCACCCAAATATACTCTCTTATCTTGTCTGTATTTCTTAGATTCTAAATTTCCATGATCCTTAAAAATTTTCCTATATTCATAAATAAAATCTTCTACCTTAAAATTTCAGGAGGTTGAGGCTCTTTCTGTCCTTCAACAAACCCAAACTTTCTTTTTTCGGCATACTTCTTTTTTTGAACCTATTGCCACTTTTTGAGTTTGTCCTCAATAGTGTCACTCTATCGAATCAGATTCATATCTATTTATTTAAAAATTAATATTAAATGAGCACATTAATTAATTCCTTGTAATATTATGATAAGTAGTAACAAGAAAGGAAGAATGACCATATGAACATGATCAAAGAGAGGGAGAGAATCAAGTGTTTAATTTTGAGCATACATTATTTAATTTTAAAATCAATATTATTTCCATTTAATGATTATTCTGTAAATTTGAGAATAATCAGAATGCTAATTTCCATTTAATTCACTAAAGAGTTGTATTCTCCATCTCTATTCCTATTATTAATATATATACTCAATGGATTTATTGTTTTTCCTTATTTCCTCTATGCTAATGATATAAATTCTGAGTTAAATTAGGAGGGTTCCTTATTAACATATCAGTAAGGAAAATTAAAATTTTTGATAAAAATTAATAATTTGTAATTTTTATATGTGTATTTTAAGCAATAGTTCTTAATCAGTCTTTTGATTATATAAGGATATTGAAACCTAAGATAAATTTATAAGTAAAATAATAGTTTCTAATGAGTTTTTACATTTACCGTGCTCCTGAAGCTTAGAAGGTGCAATCATTTCCCATCACATTGTTGGATGGGACTGGGTCTATGCATAAAGAATATCCTCGTGCTATAAATGCATATAAGACAGTCTTCAATGAATTGGGAAAGAAAAAATTAGAATATTAATGGGCCAAGGATCTGTACCCTCTGGAGCCTTTCAAATAGGCAGGATCAGGAAATATTACAAATACTTTGACAAACATGTTTCAAATGCTGCTGAGTGAGAAGGCAAAAATTCCAAAAAATATAACATTAGTTTTCATTAGTGACGGGAAGGAAGAATTTGATTTGGATAAATTGTTGGTGCTTATAGAAAGGATGAGACACAAATACTTAATCTAATTTATCAGTGTGGCTGTTGGAGACTAATTTCCGAATTCAATTAGCAATACCTTAAGAAGCATGATCCACAATCACGATCCAACTTGTCCACCTTTATTCTAAATCACAAGATCGAATACCAAAAGTTTTTAGTAAATTCAATAGGAATTTGAACACATCTTTTGGGAAATTCGAAAACGACTACTTGTAAGTGGAGAAATGATTTTAATAAATCTTCCTGTCTTCTATACTATAACATCCAAAAAACCATAAAACAGTGTTATTGCGAATAGTCTCTTCTTGGTGGAGAAAGGTAAAACTGTTGTTATGGAGAACCGTCAAATTTAACCAACTCATAATGCACAAGATATTTATTAGATGATCATCAACTCTGTTCAATAAGCATTTATTAGTTAAGCCTAGGTGAAATTTCAAGATGCACAACACGAATTTGGCTAAATCTAGCTTATAAGTCAAGACTTGTTGAAACAAATAGATAAATCTCAATAACATGATTTGACGGAAGAGCAAAAGAGTGAAGAGATCAAAGTGCATGCCACTCTTAATGTTGCCAAACAAATAGCTTAAGGTTAATTAGATCTTACAAATGCAAAAGAATCTGATTTGACTTCCTTGTAAGATTATTTAGTGAACAATGTACATAAGTTTACTGAGTTGGCCTCTAAACTTAAGTCTACTACTGCTAAAATAGTTAAAGGCATCAAAAGTATAAAGGGATTTGCTCAAGTAGTCTCAAATGCATAACATATAAATGAACTAAAGAAATCTCATGCGTAGGATCATTCTGAAGATGGAGCAAAACATGAAGACAGTAATTAATTATCAGAATAAGATTAAGAATCCGAATAAGATAAAATGAGTTCAACTTAAGAAATTCAATCAGCATAAGAAATTAAATCCGCCTAAATTATAGGTTCAAATTCAGATGTTTTAAATTAAAATGATTCATCAAAAAATGACTTTGAAGCATCTCCTTAAATTATAGAATAAATCGAAGAACCATAAGATGTAGACGATCTTAAAAACTAGTAGATTGAAGTTCCTTAAAATCAAGAGGATGAAGATGAGTAGATACAGGAAGTATAAGAAGAGTAAGTACCTAAAAACAATGCGCATGAAGAATAACCAAACTAAGAACAATAAAATGATAAATAGGATGAAGCTTAACCAAAGCATATTAGTTTAGGATAAATGACAAATATTTTAGCTGACATTACAAAAGAGGCTTAAGAAAATACAGACTAAGTAGAAAAAAATCAATAAGAAGAATAATTATAAGGAAACTAAATAAATTAAGATGATGATCAAGTAGATTAACTCTGCACTACAAATTAATAGGAAGAACAACAGATTGTTGAAAATTTGGAATAGGAAAATTAAATAGAATAAGATAATTCCAATAAGTAAGAAGAGATTTAGGAAATTTAAGAAGTTGAAAATGTTCCTGTATAATTTGAATCTTAACTTGAATAAATACAAGAAGCAAGCTAGGCTGATAATACAGATTTACCTCAAGCATAAATAGAATAAAAGCCTGAGTTGCAAAATTCCGATGAGCCAGAAATAATCTAGTAGAATGAAAACAAAGAAGAGGATTTAAATAACCAACCTGAATAACTTAACCAAATACACTCATATCCAGTAATTGATGATGAAGAAGTTATTTAAAAGATGCCGATAGATAATGAAGAATTAGTTTTATTTAAATAACCTAAATTAGATGAATTTCATAGTTAATCCTAGAACATTATTTTAGATGAACCAGTTGAAATTGAGAAAATAGAATCAACTGTTTAGATTGAAAACTTAAGAGAAGAAATTGAAGATAATAAATAAGTTTAAAATCTAAAAGAACAAGAGTAACAAAAATAATTAGTGGAATAAGATCCTGTACCTTAACAGGAAAAGGAATAAAGTATTGAAGACCTATCATAAATCGAATAAAAGGTAAATTAAAATAATGAGAACTTTGTTGAAGAAAATAAGCCATTCTTAGTGGAAAAAGTAGAGTAACCACAGAAATAGGATAAAGAAAATCAAAAATAACAAGAAATCAATGAAGAAATAGTGAAATAAAAAGAAGTGGATTCCGTAGAAGCAGCTAACGATAATGAACAAGACAAATTCCCTTAAGGAGAAGGAGGAATGGAGGATGCTGATCTAGAATTAAGAGGATAGAACTTTGAGAATTAAGAAAATGTTCCTGAAGTTTAATAGTAGCCTGAAGAATTAACTTAGCAAAGTAAGACTGGCAAGAAGAGTTATCTATGGTTGATGCTTTTAGCTGTAGTAGTTGGATACACAGTAAGAAGATTTAGAAAAAAATGAGTTGATTTTATTTCTAATATCAATAAATGAACAATTATCATAATCTTGGCAATCCAAGATCGTAGGCATTACCTGGAGCCATTTATCTACTGAAGCAAGCCTTAATGGCATCTCTGTGCATTTCTTCCTTTATTTTTGTAAAGTTTTCTTTATCCTATCCATATTTAGCTACAGCCAGGGCTTTTTAGATTGAGGCTTCAACAATTTTATCTTCTGTTGCTAACCCATCCACCATTTAATACTGTAAACCTTCAGATCCAAGATCATATCTTCTGGCTAATAAGCATAAATCTCTATGGACACTAGGTGTTAGCTTGCATTGACAAACTGCATTCATTCCTGGAGGTAGATACATACCTAAGAATAGTGATACAATTAAAACCGATCTCTATTTCTGGCAATGAACAATGTGCTTTTTTAGGCTCTGCTCTTGCTATTCTCCAATCATGAGCGAACATGAACATGCATCCGCCAGCCACTGCGTGACCATTTACTAAAGCTATAGTTGGGACTGGATATCTTAATAATCTCCCCAATAACCTTATAAATTCAAGAACAAAATTATTTCTATCGAATATATTCATATTCTATATTATGTATAGATATTTACTCCTGTAACATTGAGATCTAAGCCTCCACTAAACACTGTGGGATGGAAGGATGTCGTAATTAAAGCTGTGTGTCCTTCATGCTATTCAATTGAAGTCAATGCCTCGTGAATTTCTCTCACAAACTTATGTGTAAAGGTATTGGCTTTTTGATTTAAAATCATGAAGAAGATTTGTTCATACTAAGGATGTTGTTTGACAATCACAGTCTTTTTGAGATCCTCTTCTGTTAATTTTAGAAGGTCAATTAATTATGTTTTTATCATAATGTAATTTATATTAATTGATTTATTTACCATCATTATTAAATTCATTGGTTTTAGTGATAAAAAATATTGAATAATATATAAAAATATTAATGGAGTTCCGTATCTCTCGGAAGTGATAATTTATTAATAAATTTATTATTGCAATTACATTTAAATAATTATTCCACTTAAATGCATATTAGTATTGTCTGTCTATGTATGAAAATATAGTTAATTACAGAGAAAATAAGGGAATCCTATTTAGTCTCCATTTCAGAGTATGTATAACTCAATAATTGCACTAAATTCTTATTGAAAATGATAATGCATAATTATTACTCTTGAATCCCTGAGTGTACATGTGAAAGAACATATAAGGAATTGATAATAATAATATTATTAAAATAAATTAAATGTTTAGACAATTGAAATAGTTTATTATAATAATATGAAGCTTAAATAATTTACAGAAGTAATAACAGTCGTCAAAATGATAATATTTGAAGATATTTTATTCTAGTAGCAAGCATTGGATATGAAATTCTCATCGTATCATTTAAGATATAAATTGATTTATTTATTATTTGCAAGTATTAAGATTACTCAAAATGAGATATAAAAGGGTATATGGTTAAGAGAATGTGTGGATATTAATAAAACAAAACCATAATTAAACAATATTTTTATTAATATAATATGTATTAAATATTCAGAACAATCAAGATGATGAGACATATCATTCGACCCATAAGATTTAGTGCACCTATTGTGGCTACCAATAACTACTTAAATTTATACAATCTGAATCAGTTTTATCTGTCTCTCCTAATTGAGACTAATGAGGAGGATGAAGAATTTATGTAAGTAAAACTAGAACCGAATATTCATAGGTCAATTAAGAAAGAGAAATGTGTTGTCCAAAATTGATCATTTGAATTATTAATATATAATTTATGCAACATCTCTTACATCCTAATCCAAATCGTTAATAGGAATTAAATCTAATTGTTTGCATTTTTTATTATTATATAGGACTTCCAATAAAGCCAATTTTACATTTGGAACTTCATTCTTTAATTACCTCAACAAATTATATGTATGTTCTCCCAAAAAGAATGCATTCCCCAATCCCAATACAAAGTTCACTCTAACCAAATAGTTTGGATGTTTTAGTAAATCACTTAATTAATCTATTACTCTCTTTCCTTTTTCAAACATATCGTTCTCCTTTAATTATCTAAACAATTGCAACAGAGTCTAGATAATTCATATATTCATACTTTGCTTGCTTCTTCTCGAACTGCAGAAATTCTATCTTATACTAGTCTTTTAATTAATTGAACTTCTAGATCATCTGATTGGAAAGTCTTGAAAATTTAAAATTATTATAGGTTTGTCAGGAACTATTGTATAGGATTATAAGATTACCATTTACAATGACATCAAACATTATTGTCTCATTCTCCAATTCTTACATTATTCAATATTGATTATGACTTGTAGTAAATTCTTAACTATTTGTATTGATTCATTTTAAGCAAAAGCATTATCCGAAATGAACTACAAAATGATGTTAAAGGATTTCTGTTTAGATACAAATTTAAATTTGAGATCTGTGTCACCACTCATCAATTGATTCATTAGAAATCTTAAGAAGTACTAGATTTCTTCTTATTGGTAATATATTCTTCTATCAGTTGCTTGGTTCAATATCAGGATGACAGACTCTACCAAATTCTATTTTATCATGAAATTCTTTTCCTATTCTAACTATGTCATATATTACTGAATTTGGACAAGATACTAAGATTAATTATTAAAATTACTCCTTTGTAAATCGTCTTTGAATCTTTAATAAAGACCACTAGTTTTCCACAATATACTGATAACTTTTATTTCAACTCTAATTCTGTTTTAGAAAATAGTTTAATAAAATTTTCAATAAATATTTTGCTATCAGCAGTATTTTATAATACTTATAGAGACTCAATGCATATTTCTAAAAAGCAATTATAAGCATTAATATTATCCATCTTAAATAATTTGCCTAAGTAATCTTGATAACCTTGAAATTTGATTAAAGCTGGGACACTATAGAATAAATTTGATTTAAAATCCTTCCCATTTGTAAAGACATTATCAGCTAATTCAATACAAAACTTATGCTCTTCAGGATTACTTGCCCATTATGCAAATTCTTTTATACTTAGAACTACTCTCTTTCTGACATTTTATTCATTACTCAACATTAAAGTGTTAAAGTACTCCATCCATTCTTATAATATCTACTAAGAAACTAGATTATAGAGATTAGCAATTAATGTAACAGCAGCACATTATTCATCTATATCACCATCCTTCGCTTCTATTATTCTCTAAGTAACACATTCCTCAAATAAGTGTTATTATTTCAATAATCTCTTTCCAATATCCCTCATGATTTTAATGTACATGTTTTTTGTTTCTTCCTTTGTTCTATCTCCGATGGTTTCGAGTAATGGTTTTAACAACACTAAACTGTTTTCTGGACCTCCAATCAGATTTATTAATTTTGGCATGGATTCTAGTAATGTAAGCATTACTTATAATTCTTCTGGAACATCCTCGACTAAAATATTAAGTTAATTTTTAAACCAGCCTTTTCTTGATCCTTAAGTAAATTTGAAATAAATCCGCCCAACAAGCCTTTTGCTCTGGCAGGACCCAATACCAAGGCAATGGTTGAGAGGTTCTGCAAACAGTATGTTCTTGTGCTTGAATGATCGCTCTTCATCTCTTCCAATAAGATTGAAATGGGTAGCAAAGTTTTCATATCTGTATTTTCATCATCTAAACTAGATAAGGACACTGGGTACCCATGTCTTGGAAAGCATTTTGTAAGAGCTAATGAATTCCTAACTCCTATGCATATTTAGATCTGGTGGTATCTATGGAAGAGAGTGATTTGCCTTTTTAAGTTGATGAATTCGATGATTGATCTGTACTCATTATAATTAATATTATGTAATTCTCAAAAATATTAAAGCATTGTTTCAGCTTTGAAACTAGAAGTATCGCTAATATACATATTCACCATAGAAATTAATTGTGAAAAACCTGTGATCTTAAAAGCATTCACTGTGTGGAATGAAAATTTAATGTTTTCGATGACTCCGATCAAAGCTACCTATGTTGAGAAAAATAATTACTTTGCAATTCAAAAACCTGGTTGGATCCTCTTTGAGTTGGTCCCAGTGATTCGTTAAAAGGAAGGTAATCATCACTTGGAATGGGACAAAAAGAAACATTATAGTTTAGGTGTTAAATAGATCGGATAATTGTTGGTCACAAAAAATAAAGCATATGATGAAGCTTCGAATTTCCTTATCAGTATTCCTTAAATTATTACAAATAAGCATATCAAGCACAAGCAAATGATAAGAAACTTTTAAAGATCAATAAAACTGCATAAGACATCTACCTTTCAATTTCTTAAGAGGACGAATAAGAAAAACAATTCAATCCATTTAAGATTAATTTGACTCAAGCAGAATATGTAACAGCATTAGAATTAATCAATGTAAAATTTATATAATGATGAAATTCTAGTTTTCTTTGCCTTTTTTATTAGGATGGGATGCATTGTACACTCCTCAATATTCTGATAACGATGCTTAAGATTGATATAATTTATATAAAATATTAATATTTCAAATGTTTTATTCCAATATTACAGTCCTAATATAATTATTTATAGTTCTAATTTTAGCTATTTCATCGATGGGGATGAAGGTCAGCAAGCACTTGGTTGACCAAATCTACCTTATGGATAAGAAATTACTTCTCTGTTTAATTTTCTTAGGAAGGGGTTCCAACAAAACAGCAAAGCCAGTATCAATGTTAACAAGAAGAAAATCATTAATATTAGCTGCTGAACAATGTAATTTTCTTGATCAGACGTTGTGATATCCAAGTACTTGTTCTTTAACAATGTAAATGCATCTTTAATTACATAGAATTACATATTGTCTAGAGTACAAATATTAAATTACTTATTTCATAACTTTCTGGAGTGTTGAGCAAATTGAGTAGTTTATTTCTCTTTGGATCAGCAGACAGATCTAAAAGAGTAAAGTTCGACCAAGGAAAATCTAAGGTTGCGTTTTGGTTGAGATTCTAATAGGAGTTGTATAGTTTTCGGATATTTTGAAAATGCCTAGACACTGCTGTCATTAATCCATGATCTAAAATTCCATTAGCAAAGGTTTCACATGTGATCTCTTGTAATGTAATTGTTGTACATAGATTATCAAACATAATAGAGTTGTAATAATCAATATAAGAAATATCATTGTGTTCCACATTGACAGCATGTAATTTCTGATAGAGAGTATCAATCTCATAGACATTATTAATCAGCTAAACCATAGTAGTGTTGCTATCTTAATTCAATAAATTGAGCTTGTCATTGTAAATGTATTATTTGAGTGTATTGACCAGAATAGAATAATAACTGGAACTTAAGGATGTTTGGTTGAATTCGTTTAAGATATTTAATTTTTGATCAGCATTGTTCTAATCTAAGAAATAGATCATGATAAAGTAAGACTCTATAACAGAAGCTAATAATATCATCTTAACAAAAAATCCCATATGCTTATTCTCATTATTCTTGAACCTCTTCCTCTTTCTACCCAAAAGAGACACAGGTTCATCATTCCCTTTTTCCTCAACGATATCAATTTCACTTAATACTTCATCATCTTCATTTGAAGATATTTAGGATAGAAAGTTTTCACATTTCGAATAAAATAATTTAGCTGTCTTTTCTGGGATATCCAAAAAAATGCTTAAGATTTCTTACCTTTTATCTAGAGTGCTTGTTAGAATGCAAGTCAAGATAATAGAAGAAATGAATGTTAAACAGGCGGATAATACGAGAATCACTAAAATGTCACTATATAATTTGTTGGTTTGATCGTAGGATAAATCTATGGTATTCATATACATGTCTAATAAAGCACGAATGAAATCATTTAATGAATTGTAGATCACATAGTAATAGTCGATTTAATTTTCATTTAATTGTGAGTATACTTATTGAATGTTAAGGGATTTACTTACAATTTGCTGACTGGCCTATTCTAAAGTACTTGTTTCTTCACCTGATTGAGTATTCATCATTACATCAGAATTGAAGGAAATCTTCATAAAGATGTCCTTACTCATAGAATCAAATTGCTAAATACTTTTATTCAAATTAGATAGTAGTTTGTCTTCTTTGTAATTAGAGAATCCAATATTCAATAACATTAATTCTCTTGAATATAATACGATTTCATTGAGATATATTATCATATCAGATTGTTTGATAATCATGTTCCAATCAGAATTCTAATTGTTGATTTCTTCTCTCTCAAAGACATTGTTCAATATGCATAAGATACTCAGTAGAACAGTAAGTAGAAATGATATGTAATATAACCATCTGATTGTTCTACTCTCACTTTATGCATTTAAAGTCTCCTATAATTCTTTAGATGATCTAAAATATCCAGATTCATTTGGCTCATCACTCTCTTGATTCAGTTATTCCTCCTTCTTGATTTGAATTTCCTCGAAACTTTCCATATCTGCATCCGATTAAAACTTTTCTATATCATAGATCACACCCTCAAACAATCTCATTACCCTGATACCTTAAGAGTAATCAACGACATCCTCATTCTTCTCAACTTCTTTACTTTTCAGATCATACTCTTAATTAGTGAACATACTCTAATCTTGGATATGAGTGATCATTTCACTGTAATTAGCATCAGTAAATTCTCCATAGAAATGCATTCCAGTTTGTTGAAATTATAATCTAAATGAAAAATTTTGATTCTTAAAAGTTTTCTACTGAAATTATTTGATATTTGAAGTCGACAAATCAATTTGTCTTTCGACCCTTACTTAATATCCAGCCAAACCTTATTCATTTTCTGAATTTTTCATTATTAGAAAGTTAATATCCAAAATGGACACACTTAATTTAATAGATGTATCTGATGCTCCAAATGCAATATGATCATCTAAGATTTTTGGCAATATGAAATCAACCGATTTTCCTTATTTCAATTTAAAATCACCATAACATTCCTTAATCTCTGGAAACAAATCAAAAAGATGGATTTCTTAAATTTGTAAAGACTTTATATCCAACCCCAATAAATTTATACAACCTCCTGAAATATCTTCTACCACGTACTCCTTATTACAAACTAAATATGCTACATCCTTGATTCTCTTTTCCTTTTTGAATGTACCTACAAACTCTACTCCTTCTTTTAAAACATGATAAACAGGTCTCAATAACACATTTATCCCTTACAAATATCCGTTCTTATGCTTCCCTAGTAACAACCTTTCTTTATTCAATAGAGTGGCTTCATTTGTATCCAAGAATCTTCTTAAAAAGTCATCGTGATGCTTTGCGTATAATGAAGGCATAATATTATTGACTTTCTTATTCATAAGTTCATTTTTATCAAATCCCAATAATGAAGCAGCAGCCATATTAATAGCATAGATTTAACCAAACTTCTCCTCTTCCAATGAAATAAAAACACAACCATCTTCTTGTCCATCAACATTCAAATTTGAAGTCATTCCTAATTTAAAAGCTTTTCTTTGAGCAAACGAACTCTCTATTTTTCTAGCTTATTCAAGTAAATCAAATCCTGATATCCGATCATTGAATATTTCAATTAAATATTTAGAATATAATCTCAATGCTTATGGTAGTTATTGATTTTAGATTCTTTAAAGTCTTTTCCAAGTCGTATCAACATACATCCTAATCGGAAACAATTTTGATCCAATCTCATACAGCTTAACCAAATCAGGTTTCTCATCAGCAAATTAAGACCAGAACTCCATCAGTAAACTTACACTTCTTTCCATAGCTTATTTAAAGGATCCAAACTTCTCATCAAAGTCTCTTTATTCCGTGAAATCCTATCCTTCCCCACTTAACTCGGATATCTCAGCCTCAATCACACTTTTAATATAGAAAACTATATATTTTTCATCAAAAGATGTCTTTAGTTTTTCAATATTGCTTAATTCTTCCAAAGCTTAAGGTTTGGATTTCAATATCCTCAATGTAAACAGTGAGTATTCTATTCGAATGAATACATCAGTTGGAAATTTCCCGATTCCCATAATGAACAGCCTTGTCATAGTATCATAGATTAATTAATGTCTTTTGTCTGTTTTACTGACTATTTCATTTTTTACTTTGAACATATTCAAAGAGAATTTCACCTTTTTTAATGGACATAAAGGATTTGGACAAGTTTAATTGTGAAATTCAATGTAACCATTTAACAACTACCCTTATGGCAATCTTTTTTTATCATATTCTACTAATTTGATGACTTCATGTACATGATTCACCAATTAAACAGGATTATCAAACTTATTCACATAAATCATCAAACACTATTCCCTCTTCTATTATTGCAACAGCTATATCATGAATACAAAAGGCAGGCAAAATAACCAAGTATATAAAGATCCAACCATTATTCTCTTCTCCACTAAATTAGATATACACAACATAAGAGATGCCCACATTTCTAAAGTAAGAAATGTCAAACACAGCTTCTACATTAACCTGTTATTATATGCATCATTTCTCTTTGCATATAAAAAGCAAACCACTGATCCAATTAATTAATAGACTTCAAAAAACACTTATGAATTACTATTGTGTGGTAACATAGATAGCAACACAACAATGCCGAAATGAGTTGAGGTTAAGGTTGTACACCTTCCATTTCTCTTTGATAATGCCTTCTCCTGATCAAAAGAACCATCAAAAAATAAATAATTAACTGCTGAGCACATGATGGATAGAATTATTAATCCAATAATTGATATTATTTGATCTATGACTAACAATCCTTACCAACATTTTTGATTTGAAAAGTCATCCATATACCCATTTGTACAACTGATTGAAAACTACATAATCTTAATAAAGTATTACTGTGAATAGGAATAACATAGGTATATACAGTATAGTACTAAACACAAAGGTCAGGTATTTTAATACGTTGATTAATAATTATACTGGATCTTTCTAGTTGACTATAAATATGATTGATATTAAAAATAAGAACACCCAAAAACATAATAATGCAATAGAAACATAAATTAATATTTATACTGCACTATAATCCTAGTTTAACAAATAATGGGTAAAATTAAAATATCCAAAGATTTAAGTCAATGTGTCTGCATTACTGTCCTACCATACTGATACAATCTCTATACAATAATGATTATACCATATGATGGAATTTGAAATAATGAATTTACATCAGAGTGATTAACATGGCTAAGCTGTGCACTATAATCGATTAATTTGAATCCCGAACCATCAAATATATCAATCGATATAGAGAATTTTAATTGTTGGATTCCAATGACTTGTCTGTCAGATTCTTCCCTTCCTCTGACATTAAAATAAAATAAATAAATAATCAATTGTTATAAAAAATAACCAAAAATTTCATTAAAAGGATATTGATCTTTCAGGCACTATATTTTATGAAACTACCTGATCAGGCAATGTCTTTAATATTCGTTCCCTTATTTTCCTCAATGGCACCTTTGGATAGACATATTTGTCTTAAAATAGCATTTTATTTTAAGGTCTATAATACTTCTCAATATTCTAAAGCAACTCTATCATTGAGAGATCCATCTTTTTTGTATGAATCAATATTTATAAAAAATTACTTAATTGACTATGATTATTTTTAGTAAACTCCCTCAAATATTCATACACTGGTATCTATATAACTTCAGGTCTTTGAAGTTGCGTTAATTTCATTTCCTTGATTAATTCGCATTAATGATCTATTTCTTCTTGTTAGAATTTTAGTGTAATCTTTAGTTTTTGGTATTTCGTTAAAAGTTACATGTACTTGTAACAAACCTCATCATATTTTACTTATAGTTATTTCACATGATGTTACAATTCTTTATATTCATGAGCTCTTGAAATCATCTTATAAATACATTGCTGTATTAGGTTTTTCAATAATTATAGTATTATTAATTGGTGCTACATTCATTGCTCTATATATCTACTTGTCTAAATATTAGAAGCAACTTTAGATATTGTTATGTAACTGTTTGATATCAAAATCTCTCAGATCAGTCATTTCCTTCTATTTATATATTCGATGATATTATTATAATAATAGAATGAGATGAAACAAATTAATATCGGTTATATTGTAATGAATTCATTCCATTTATTCTACTTCTTATTAACTCTCTTGGATTTTGAATCTAATTTGTTTACTTTAGTTTTACTTCATCTTGTACCTTCTAATTACAAAAAGTAGAATCATCACAAATATAAGTGCACCGAATACTCCAACATAAATTAAGGTATGTTATTCTTCTGAGTTACCATTTGTAGTTGTATCAATAGGATCATCATCTTCGTTGTCGTCTTCTGATTAAGTAGAATTTTAAGATACTTTATTTTTATAGTCTTCTTATCTTTTAAATCTGATGAACTCATTTGAAATCATTGATTGAATCTATTCTTTTTAATTTTAATTGAGGTTCTAGAAGCCTTTTTAATTCAGAAATTCTTGAATTGTTTCCTTGATTTCATCTTCTGATTTCCCTTCTCTAAGTGAGTCTCTTATAATTTATCTTATTTCTTGTCTAATGTTTCTGAATGTTTCAGTAGAATTCTTTTATTTCTCTTGTTGAGACATATCTTTGATAATCTAATCTATATTTTTTATATCACCTGGCAGGTTTTGAGTTCCATTAAAGTATTGATTAATAAATAAAGTAATATTCTTTTTTACTTCTTCATCAGATAAGCCTTAATCTAAGAACTCTTAAATTTGATATTCAATCTCTTCTAATTCTTATTCCTCTTTCTTTTACTTTTAAATAGAACTTGTTGTATCCCATGTTGATAAAATTGATCTATCAGGTTTAGCCTTAAAATCTTCAATTTGTTTTTGGATAATGTTCAAAACCTACTTGCTAGTGAACTGTTTTGTAGTATCATTTAAATTTCTTTCTAATTCTTTGGAAATCTTGGTTAATACGATATCTTTATCTGTATTATTGAGAGAACTAAAATATTCAATATCATTTTCAATTCTCTTATTTTCTTATTCTGTTTATTTATCTAATTCTTCGGCCATACCTAAGAAGGCAACCAGAATTTTTTCTTTTCTTTCTTGATTTTATTTCATGTAATATTGATATCCTTAATCAAATATATAGCTGTTGATAAATGATAATTCATCCTTTTAATCCTAATCTAGGTTCTTAGCTAAATTCTCAAATAATTCATTGATTGTGCTATTGTGCTATCTCCTATTATCGTCATTCCTAGGAGGGGGTCCTCTTTGGAGTAATCGGGCATATGTGATGGTAAATATTGTGAATAGAACCAACATTAATACTTATAATTTTAATAATTCAAATTCCTTTTTTGAGATTAATACCATAAACATAATATTAAATATAGTCATTAATGAAATTATCAACTATTTTGAGAAGATTAGACATATTCGGAGTTCCGATAACATTAATTGGATTTAATCGTCTAAAATATTAAACAAAACTAGGAGGATTGGTAAGTTTGGCTTTGGTCGGTTGGCTCACTTACAACATCATCCTACAATTTGTTTCGTTAATATCTAAAAACAAATTGCTAGTAACTACAAATACTATATTTAGTGATACTCCATCATTAATTGAGTTAAATTCATAAAATTTCATGTTTGCATTATAAATTAGATAATCTGACTATATTAATGTATCAAATTAATCATTATTAAAAGAAACCTTACTTTACATTTAAATTAGAACACATCTCTGTAACAGATGGATTCAATAAAACCACTTAAACTGTTCCTTTTACAAAATGCACTATTAAAGATTTTGAAAATCTATATTTTTATAATGTGGATATGTTTGAATAGTTGGTTTTCAACAACTATACAGATTGGGTATGTCCCTAATTCGGAAACATAACGTATGCCTTACAAGGCAAATTTGGATCCAAATTGTTTCAATATTTGAAAATTTCTGCCATTCCTTGTAAGCCTGGACAATATGATTATGATTATTAATGTCCAAGTACTGAAGAGACTATAGATTACATCAACTCTATTGACGGAGAACTTAACATCAATTTGATGATCACTAACGTAAATGTCAACACAGCTTAAACTAATAGTTATACTGGATTCCTAGATAGAGATTATTACATGTTATTGAATCCATTAAAATAATTCGGATCTGTGGACATGTTCCTTCGTAATTGGGATGTTTACACCAATCCATCAATTATTGATGATGGAACTGATTATGATTATTAAAACTATGTAGTGTTGGAGAAATAAGAGACTTCAGAAAAATAGAATTATCATGAGTATGATATATCTAAAAATTAAGAAATAGCCAAGTTATTCTTTAGAACTAGTTAGTATTCCTTGTATACAAAACGTAATTATGTAAGTATCGGGGACTTCTTGGCTTATGTAGGGGGAATATTTGGATCCCTGTATACCATAGGAGCATTGTTTATGTCAATTTATGCATATGAGTAATTGTGGTTGAAGTTGTTTAAGGTTCATTATAATTTTGTTGCTTATGACAGAAATTGTAAATCTCTCAATGAAATTATTAAGAATAAATTCTCTTAGGAAAATATTCTAATTCCTAATATGAAATCCTTCCTACTATTCTTCACAAAACAAGGCATTTAGAATATTAAGACCTATATACAGTCTTAGACTATTATAATGGAAGATTTAAGTGTTGTTAATTACCTGAAAACTGTGAAAGATTTATAAAAAATTAAAAAGATTCTTTTTAATGAAAAGTAAACCTAAATTTTAGATCTCTACAACAAAGAAACAATTGCAATTACTAAGTATCAAGCATAACATTCCCATAAATTAGAGAAGGGGAAGAAGTTTTTATATGGATAACATTTCTAGGATCACACTCTTTAAACGCTAAGGAAAATTATAGATCAATATTAGAGTCTCCTTTATGATAAGGATAAGTTTCAACTTAAGATTACTCAGAGATTAATTAATATTTTTGATAACGACTTCTAAGAAGTTATCAACAATTGGGAAAATGGGTATTATCAGTTGAAGACTCTCAATACTACTAATTATGATAATGTCTAATAAAATAGGATGCCTCAATTATCACAGCAGTTCGCAATCTCCAAAGATATTACAAAGATTATTAATTTCAGAAATTAGTATAATCTGACCAACCCAGAAATAGAGAGCTTGTTGAAAACATTATTCTTTAAAAAACAAACCCTGTATCTTGATGAAAACTTCAATATCCAGTATGAAGTCTCTATCAATCAAGAAGAAGAAAAGATCAATTATGTATTGACAATCCATAATAAATTTTAATAATATTAATTGGATATCAAGTAATCTGACATCCTAGTTTAACATTAATTTACAGCTCGTAAGCATAAAATAGAGTGCAATTTAATGAGGAATAAATCCATTTCTCTTTTAGATTTGATTAGTTGCTCTCTAGAAGTCACCATTAATTCGAATTATACTATTTATTTAAATTGTTCTTTGAATGCGAATATTCAATATCAACTGAAAGTTATTAATATTCCTAAAGATTTTAGAACTCATTATTACATTTACTTAGATGATTACAACAAAGAAAGGTTTTAGTTACTTTTTGCACTTTTGCAACAACAAAAATTTATGATATCCAACATCGAGAATTTTGAATGTATGTTCTAATTTGATTCTAATGGACAGAGTGCATAATATATCGAAATATTTATGAATTGGCCAAATAATGAAATAATTTTAAATGAGCTAATTATATCAAATAAGCCTTACATATAATTCTTACAGGTGCTCTATGATATAATTATACTTTATTTGTAAAATTTATGAAAAGAAAAATAATAATAATACTATGTTTTATAAATCTCTATTATAATTATTAATCAAAAATAAATTATCGTATTTAAGATAGCATTCAAATGTATATATTATTTATTTAATATTATATTTATGTTGATTTCTGTCAGTTACCAACCAGAAAAAAGATATATTTCAGTCTCTTTAAATAAGATACTTTTTCTCATGATGACCATAATTCTTCATATTTTATTTCTTGTTCTCACTCTAATATATCATAAATTAATAAACTACTATGATTACAATAATTTTATTTAATTAAATATTTAAAATATCTTTATATAGATTTAAATCCATTATCATCTCGTTCCTTTCTAAATTTATGTCCTTTCTTAATTTAAGAGGTTATCAAGAAGGAAATTTAATTCTGCTCAAACCAAAGGTCAATTTTTATGGATTTATTTATAAAATATCTAAATATTGGTTTATAACATTATCATGATAATATTCCCAGGCCTTTGCCTTCCTTACTTTTATAATAAAGAAAGGCTGAAATGGTTGTTGAAAATAAGGCGGCAAATTCAAAGAATAATGGAAGCCAACTTACATCCCAAATTCTACTTCCTGCTGTCAAATACAAAATAGGAATAATCAACAATAATGCCCAACAAAAGAAGAGTGATATCATTTGGATTAACCAAATATGAAATTGTTTAAGTACTCTACTAATGAGGGATTCCCCTAATGAAAACAAGAGAACTAATCCGGCAAATCCCAATGCAAATCCACCTAAATAAGGCGTTGTTTTGACGGTTTTGCATAAAGCATCGCCATTGCAGTCAGGTATATTCATATAACAATCCATAGAGTTTATTGATGAATGAGTTTTTCCTGAGAAGGTGAGGTAATACGATCCGCTTCCTGTTGACAATAATTCAGCCACATTAAAAAAGAAGCAAAACACAATAAGCACTACTCCTATTACTAAAAAAAGTGCTTTGTATAATCCTAAATTACGAGTTATTTCGCTTATCATGTGTTTATGATAATTATATAAAACAAATTAATTTATTATAGAAGATATCAACTGCCTTTCATTCCATATGATATTTGCTGTATGCATGTTATCAAAATTGCCATTCTAATTATTACAAATATACTAATCTAATTTAAAAAAAATATACATGATTTTTCAAATGTATCACATGAAATAGTGCAAATCTCTTACAAGTATTCGAAGAAATGTGTATTCTATTAGATTAGATTGTTTGGTAATATAGGAAGTATAAAGTAATCTAAAAAAATATTTTTTTCAATTATTAAGTAATTTTATAATTTTGTTAAAATATGCTTTGTAGATTATATTTGGTTTCTAAGTGCTTTAAGTTCGTGACTACAAGCGGTTTATATATTGAGAGTATATAAATTTATTAAAAATGGTGTAAATAATAGATATAATAGTTTATATTGAAAAAACATACCTTGTCTATTAATTTTAACAAAAAATCTATCTAAACAGGAATAATTTCAACTTTTACTAGTAGGAATCAGGAGTATCTGTTTAGTGTAAATCTTAGTTATAGGATAGAATTTTTCAAAACATATTTTGAAATAACTCTAATCAAATCAAAGTGAAATGTAGCAATTACAGAAAAACGTTAGCGACAATAATTGATTTTTTCAAATTTATTCTCCAATAATTGAGAGTTGAAACATATAAATTATTTGTTCTTCATTATTTTTAGGATTTTATTTTATATATGTATTATATGATAGAATTTTAGTGATAAATGACTTGGAAATATTAAAAGAAATGTTTAATAATTTGTCTCAAAATAATTGTAAATTAATAATGATATTTTTTAAAGAATATAAAAATTAATGAAAGGAAAATCTAAAGATTAATTAGCAGCAAATATGTAACCAGTCCTTCTATAATAGAGAACATATTAATCAAATGAAATAGCAAAATCAAACATTGCAAGAAGATTTATAATAAGACTCGAAAAATAATGATTTTGAAAAGATGAATTCATTACAAGAAGAATGTGCATCATATGCAAAAAAAATAGAAGTTGAGAGCAAAAAACAAGTAAACTAGAATTTAATAAAAGCGAGACTTAGAACAGCTAATTTAGAATGCTGAATAATAGTTGCAAGATCACAGAAAAAAAATGAGTAATTCAGATGGAATATAGCTGCCAAGTCTAATAAAGAAATAAAAAACACTGGAGAGGTATCAGCTTCTTACATATTTAGTTAGTTAGAATAAATTAAACTAAAACATAATGAATCATTAGCAGAAATCAATCAATTAATGGAGTAAATAAATACAGCAAGAAGGGAGAGAGTCATTTACAGCAATGTGTTTAAGAAACTGGAAAGCGATATTCGAGCTAAAGAGGAAGAATTTAAAAAATAATTATTGATTAGAAAGTAAATAGAACACGAATTAAATCAGTGTTAGGAATAATTTGATAAGATGAAAGAGTAATTGAATATGTAATTCTAATTAGATAAGCTACTTAAGTTGTCGAATCTAATAAATAGGAATATACACAGATACTAAAAACCAATAGATTAGATGAGACAGAGGAATAATCTCCAAAAAATTAATAATAGCAATAATAATAAACTAAGTAAGAGAGTAAATCCTAATAAATAAAAGAATCCTAATAACCTAAATAATAGATATAAATGCAGAAGGATGTTGAAGATGTAACGAATTACGAATTGATGTTTGAGAAATTAAAAAAAGAAACAGGACTAAACTCCATTGAAGAAATTATTCATACATTTAGGACAATTGAAGAAACAAATAATGAGTTGTTCAAAAAGGCAAATGTTTTAAGTGATTAAATTGATTTAGAAGAAAAATAAATAGAAGAATTGTAAAGATAGATCTCTTAATACACTAAAAATTAATAGAAGGAAGATAATGAATTTGAAGATGAAAAATTTAAATTTGCTTAACAATTAGAAAGAAGTGAGAAGTTGGATAAAGAAATTCAATAGGCTGAAAATGAGATCAAAGAATATGAGAAGGAATTATTAGAAATAGCAAATAAATAATAGATTAAATACGACCCAAATTCAGAGATCACATTAATGTAATTAGTTGAATAAAGAGCATATGAATTAGTTGACTTATGTAGATACTATGATAATCATAATTATACTATTGATTCAAAAAAAAATGATTAGGAAAGTACAGTTTCAAATTAGGATGATTAAACTATGAAAGATTTATTGGACGGAGTTGAGAATGAGAAGGAGGCTGAGAAGATTATGAGTAAGGATGATTTTAAGAAAATTGGGTCATAAGAATTATAATAGTTTTAGAAGAAGAATATAAGTAAGAAAAAGAGAGAATGATTTATAATTAATAATCATAAATAATTATGAAATAAAAAGTAAAGGAGATTATCAAGTATTTGAAAGAATTCTAAATCCCTGCTATTTCAAGTGAATTTGCTCTGAGTGAGGCCGAAAGAGCTAACCTTTATTTTTACTTAACATCTCAGGAAATGGAAAGTTAAAAATAATAAATAGAGGAGAAATTGCCCGAAGAAATCAAATTAAAAAAAGTGAAAATATATTAAGTCTATGATTCAATTGATGCTATCCAAAATTTCAATTCTTTTGATTTTAAACAGGAGGAACGAAACATTAAGGAAAATGAGATCTAAATAATATCCAATAGAGATCAGAATATCAAGTTTAATTCCTTGAATGAAATCAAATAATTCTTGAAACAATACTATGATCAAAAGTAAAACTAAATTTAAAGTGATGAAATCTAATAAATAGATAGATAACTGATTATATAAAGTCTGAATATTTAATTTTAAGAACCAAATTGTGATATCCAATCAATAATAGATATCTTTTTGAGTATTCTTTATAAAGAAATCGAATAGAATTATCAAAAAAGATATGATTATTATTTAGATACATTTTGTATGTTGATTAAATAAAAAATTTCATTTTTGATGTCTAATTTAAGTACTTAAAATATAACTGAGAAACTAATAAACTCTGTTCCTTAATTTAGAGTCTCTTTGATAGAGTTAGTAAAGGAATTCACTGAATAAGCACTTCTGAAGTAAAACGAGAAGATGTACTCAATATATTTTACCTAATTAAGAGATTTAGTATTTAAATTTTTAAATGAAGATCATCCATTGTAATTTGAAAGTTTCAGATTATTATTGAAAATTAATCATTCAACAATTTTAGAATTTGTTAAATAAGCAAATCCTTTGATATTTAACAAAAAGAAGCCAGAAATCAAAGATTTCATATTTGAGGAAACCCAATAAAAAATAAATTAGTTATCTACAATGAATGATTGCCAATAATAATTAACATTCATGTTCTATATAGGAATTTGTTAATAAAATCATAATCATCATTGTAAGATTCTAGCCAAGTTATTGCAAGATTGTCAATAAAACTACCCTTAACATCTTGATGCCATATACGCCAATTTGTTGAAGATAAAAAATAACAGTAACATGGGTGTTAAATAGATCATCGAATTCATAGGTTTGAGTGTAAATAACCCTGATGCGTTGCACTAGAAGTTCTTGGATTTGTTTGTGGAATTTGCTTTAGAATATCCAAAGTCAGAAGAGTTTGCTTTTGACATGTTTAGAGTTTACTTGTATCGTTATTTTACACAATAGATAGAGGGGGATTCAAATATCATAAACTAGATTATTTCATAGACCTTCGATTAATTGAAAATAGATTTTATGATGAAGACTATTGAAAAGGTCCCAACAGAGAGGCTGACTCAAATGATATTAAGAAGATCCAATTTTGATCTATATCATTATATATTAAAGGATGAGAGCAAGGCTTTGGCAGTTTTTCTGATAAAGTTGTTTTTATAGAAGGATTAACAATAATTAAAAAACAATAAATACGAGTTATTGAAGTTGTTTCAAGAATAAGTTTGTGAATACGAACATACGAAGGATATTCTGAACTTTTTGTTCTAAGAGCAAAACAAATCCTACAATGGATTGATAACTACTTTTATCATGAATTGTCTAAAGAGGAAGAAGCCAAATAACATGTAAGAGGAAATTAAGTTTATTTTATCTAAGAGTTTTTATTATGAGGATGAGACTATCATCAAAAGTGTGGAGTTTTACAGATAAATGTATCCAGACTAGTATTAATAATTACTTGATGATTAAACTAGACTTCGATTAAGGGACAAAAGATTATTATGATCATAATTATAATTTATTATATATACACATATAATACATTCTCTGTTGTCTCATTTTCAAAATAATTCATATTGTTACTTTGTCTTTATAAATTGGATATAATTAAGTTTGATACTTATATTAAAATAAATAATTTTAATCAATCATGACTACCCTCAATGTTTAGATTAACCTGAATCAGTTCCAACTGATATTACAGAAGGAGGAAGAAAAGAAACAATAGCAATATTCTTTGTAAAGGAAAGAATATCCGAAAGGGCCAATCAATCTATATGAATCAAGATTTGAGAAAGTTTCGTTGTCAAACCAAAAGATCAACGAAGTGATAGGCTGGATGTTGATAATAGCTGTAATTTTGATGATACTTGTATTGCCAATCTCCATAATATAAAATTCTATTATTGGATTCGCAATTCCACTACTGTCAGTTACAACATTCTTCATCGTATACATAAATTGGATTTCGATGAAGTTTTTTATAAATTCTTGAGATGATATATTATTTTATTTTGTACAAAAAACTATATGTTAAAATGAAATTCCAATATTCCTATTTTAAGGTAAATTCATTAAAATAATTCAAGTTATAACTTAATTTCTCTTTCCTTCAATTTCAAAGTTGCATAATCCTCTCCAGATTTCATCTTTTTTTCTTTCCTTTCCTCAAATCTGTGCTACCTCCTCAGCCATCTCCTCAAAGCCTTCTTTTGAGTAATCGGATTTTCCCTATCATAATTGAAAGGAAATATGGAATCACAGTATTTTTCGTATTCGTCATGTTCTCCGAAATCCCACATCAAAGAAACCAGTCTATTATTGGGAATAAAATGATAAATCAAAGCTATAACTAAACCGATGACCGAAATGAGGGATAAATTGTTCTGGATGAAGTACTTAAAGGCTGAAGTAGAGAAAACGTGGATGATTGGAATCAGTTGTAAAGAGTCTGTCATTCTCGAGGATAGCTGAAATGAAGGAGTGTGTTTAACAGTCTTGCTCCTAAGTAACAAATACTTCTCAGCCCAGTAAAACAGTATCAATCCAATAATACTAAAAATATATCCTAATGGAACGAGAGGACCCACAAAAAAGGTCACATTCATAGTTTTAAGGACTTCAGCATAACCTTCTTCAATTTTATGTTCTGGAAACTCGAGGAGTCTTTAATTATTAATTTAATTTACTCGTTCAATTCTTGTTAAGTAAGTACTCCGTATTTCTTGTAATAATATTACTTTATTGATTTAAGCACTGCTGGAATGTCTAACACTTAAATTATGGGTGGGATTACTGCATTCGATATAAAGAAGTAGGTCATATTGTAAGCGAGTCCTCCTGCATAATATACGTTACCAGATTCCAAGGCTATCAAACATTGCATGAACACTGAATTCAGAAACATCATAAATGATAGTTTAGATGCAATAGCAAGACTCACTTGGCTAAATGTAGGGTAGGCTTAAAAACTAACTATTGCTCTCGTCAATTCATCCAACAAAAACGAATTGATAAAAACTGTTATCATTGAATATCCTATGGAATACAAATGAACCTTAATGTAGTGTTCATCGAATGTGTTATTGCCATGATAGTCTTTGGTCAGTTCTCCCAAGACTTACACTTACTTTAAAATTGAAAGGTAGACTACTATTGACAAGATAATATTAACAATAACATTAATAATTGCTCCTATGATCCTTCTATAGATGCTATGATTGGCCCAGATATAGATCACATCCCAATTGATATCAGTGGGTTCTGGAGCTACTTCGACATATATAGGATGCCCATAATAATCAAGCATTCTGCCTTCATTAAAGTTCAGACCAGTGAATATATTGATTATCGGGGCTATGTATTATCCTAAGAGTGATGATTTAAAAATACACTTTTTGCAACTTGAATGACATCTGATTTCATCCTTTCATATTTGAATGATACAAAAGCCAATCCAGTAAAATCACAATTCTGTTTCTGTACTTCGATCTAGTTGTTAATGTCTTCCAATTCCCTTTCGTCGAAGTATTCAGAGTTGAGGAAACTTGATTTTTTCTTGTTTAATATGTTATGTTTAATTTAATTTATTTCCTTTATTTTTGACAAATCATAGGCTAAGTTAATTTTTTTCACGTTAATCTTCCTTGACAATTTGAATAAATCGATTTCAAAATATTGTTTTAATTTATCTGGATAATTTATATTGTAAGCCATGACTGTGTAATCACTAGGAGTCAATTCTTATAAATCACAAAAAACATCTAATTTTTTTTGATTCTTTCTAAAATATATTAGAAATGCCATCATTAAGAAAGTGGAAGACAATGTTAAGATGTCTTATAATGCCTGCAATTCTTAATCTTTTCTTCTATTAGCCAGGGAGAACATTGTGACAATGTCTCTCACACATTCCTAATCAGTTTCAAACTTCACTCTTTTTTTAGGGATACAGTCTTCGCCTTAGTAATTGCTTATTAAATTGAACTGACCTTCTGCCATCAAATGGAAACATAATAAGAAAATGCAGTTTTTAATGAAGGTAAAATAGAGGGGATATCCTGAACCCAAAAATGAGAGGTCTTCTTTGTCAACTGATAGTTTTAATTAGAACTCACAAATGTGATATCCACAACAAAGACATATTTATTTTCCAGCAACTCCCACTTTATGAGCAGACTAATGAATTATGGCCAGTTTCCAATCTCCAGGAATTGAATCGAGATTGTAAGCAGTTGGCGAATTCATTTGTTAAGACGACTAAGAGTACTATGGTATCTGAGGTTATTGGCCTTATAGTTGTTAAATATTCATTAAAATATAAATTAAACCTTAAATACAAAACAGAATAGTTCAATAATATTTAGTAGATAATAATAGCTTTTATTTACTAGTGTATATATCTGTAACCTATTGTTCATCATTGTTTTCCAAGTAAGTGAACCCTTGAAACAAGTTATTGTGATCCCTTTCCTCCTTGTACTCACTAATACTCAACACTTGATTCACAAATTTAGAATCAAAATTATCCTTCCCCACAATCTTATAGGGAGCCTCGACTAATTTATCATAATGTCTGCTCCAATTGACATTTTTCAACCACGGATGACTCATCACTTCATCCGGACCTTCATTGCCTAATCTTTAATTAGCCTTCCTCTGCAGTAATCTATTCACAAAATCAGTAACCTCTTTGGATAAGCCTTGATTGGGTAATTTAACCTATTTGCTTATTATCAACTCTCTAATTTGCCTTCTGGTTTTTCCTTAATAGGGTCTCTTGATTATATATGAATATGATTACTTTCCCTGTCAAACATTCATACACAATGCAACCTAAGGCAAAGTAATCACAGGCTACTCCATGGTCAGTTTCCATCATAACTTCCGGAGCCATGTATCCAGGAGTTCCACTCGTCTCATTCTTGTTATTGGGCTTCCATATTCTAGCAATCCCCAAATCTGTTATGTGAAGATAGCCCCTATCATCAAATACCAGATTCTCAGGTTTAATGTCTCTATGAAGGATGAGGTTTTTATGCAAATATTGGAGAGCCATCAATATGCAGATCACAAAAAACCCTTAGGTATCAAATTAGAATTGCTACTTGTTTGTTCTTCAGTGAATTTGCCCTGCTTACATAAATGATATCTTAGGTCTCCACCTTCCATGTAGTCCATAACTATGTATAAATGTGTCGATGTTTAAAATGCTCCCCTCATATTAACTAGAAATCTGTTTCGATTTATATAATACGAATGATTTAGTTTTTAAAGCAGAATTCTCTCGTTCATAACACTCTTATTAGATTGGTTTTCGATTATTCTAATTTCTATATAGTTGACAACCCTACTTAGATTTTATCATCTCCTTCAATGCGAAGTACTTTCTCTAGCATTTCACCTTCCATACCCTACCGAATCCTCCTTTCCCTATAACGTAGAGCAACTTATATTGCGACAATTACGGGGCTACATTATATATTGTGATAATTTACTATACAATTCCAATTCAGAATGACTGAGTTCTTCACTCTAACAATTTCCCATTATTTAATATAATTATTTTATTCCATTTTAATCGACAAAAAATGATAAATAAATGTAATATACAACTTATCAGGGTATTTTAATTATATTTAGAATAAATCTAAACATTTTGACTATTTCTTTGTTTTTAAATATTTATAAATTCAATATAGTTTTATTATGTAAGTCTAAAATTTTGTTTAATTAGATAATAAGACAGTTTTGATTAAATACCAAATATTCCCTAATCACAATAGAATAATTAAACCCATAGTAAAATTAATTAATTTATGTATTGATATAAAACGAATTAAAATATTAAAAATCTTAGATTTAAAGATAATTTTTATTACAATAATAAAATTCAGATTACAAACGAATGTTTGCAATTTTATAATGATGATTGAATATATCCAATTCTTTAGTAATAACCCAAATATCATAGATTATATATTATTAATATCATCATTTACTTAATTTTTTGCTATTAGATTATTTCCTATTCATTTCTGCTTCCCAAGTTAGATGTGGATCAAAACCAAATTCATTGTGTTGAACACTATTTGTCAGTCTAAATGGTTCTTTGTTATTTATCCTCACTTTTTCTAACATTTCATCTTCATGAACTTTTCCATATTTGCTAGGCCTTTAAACAAAATCCTCAAAATCCAATTTGAATTCATCTAATTATTTCTTAATTCCTGGTGGAGTCTTTGGCTTTTAAAACTCTTAATATTGACTCGGTATTTTGAATCCTTTGAAGCCTAAAAGTATGGAAAAAAGGGAAACCTTGAGGAGCCTTATAACTTCTCTCTGCCAAATTTATTCGCAATATTTCCCATTCATTCAATATTTTACCTTTCAATGTTGGTATTTTAGTAAATTCATCATTTTTGAATCCAGGACCTTAAAAATGGTATAAATCGAATACTTTTCCATGCCATTCTAAATCTTCTTTTTAATTCTTAATAGACTTCTTCCTTGTCCTTAATTCTAGGTAAACCAACATCTATTTCTTTGTTCTCTAATTTTTCTTATTTTTCTGCATTAATTACATCTCTTGTTCTTCTTTAGTATTTATAATCAATTTTATTCATTTCCTTTTTTTACTTATCTGAAGCCACAGTCATTTCATCCAGGAGTTACTAAATCATTCTTTAATTGTTTCACTATATAATTAATATAATAATAAATATAAAATATTCTAATAATGTGTTGAATTTACTGAGTCCTGTCTTTCAACTCTAATTGATAGTCAATTCTCCACTTAAACTAATAGATGGACTTGAGTATATACAAAAATCACTTAAAGTTTTTTGATCCTTTGAATCAATATATTCGAAGGGGAATAGAAATTTCAAAATTTAGAAATGAAACATTTATGATATTCCAATCATTGTTATTAATTTTTGTTTAAATATTTATATGAATAAAGCAACTCGAACAACTAGTCTACGATAACATAAACTAACCTTTTCAAAAGACAATAATAGTAGCTTATAAGTATAGACCAGGTCTTAAAGTTTTAAATAAAACATCAGCATTTCTCCTGATAAGAAATCTTAAATGTCTCCAACAAAATAAAATAGCGTATATATGAATGGATAATTGCTTGTATTATGAATTTGTATATATATAAGATTCGTCCAAGATCGAAATATAATTAATTAGGCAATTTGTCTTCTTCAAAATTACAGGACTCCCAAAAAATCTTTCTTATTCAATAAGCACAATAGCAATAGACATAACAATAAAGGGCTGAATAAAGCCCTGTATTACACAGAAAACAACAGAGTGACAAAGGATTAAAACATGACTTGCCTAAAATATCACCAATCAAAGCAAGACAACCTATTAGATAGTTGTAGTCTGATATGAATCAATTGGACCTATTTAAAAAGGAGTAAATTAAACAAAGTGTTACTAGAATTGCTTATACTAAATCTTAGGCTGGTAAAAACGAAGATAATTTAACAAAAACAAATCAAGATAGTTTTATATCTCTTTAATCTTTCAAGGATAACATGTCCTTATTTGGTGTGTGTGATGGCCATGGTCAAGATGGTCATAAATGCAGTCAATTCATTCGAGATAATTTACCCAAAAACATCGACTCTCTCTTGTCTCTAAATCCTTCGTCTATTCCAGAATCAATCTCCAAATCTTTCCTCAGAACAAACTCTTAATTATGCAATTTTGAAGAGATAATAACAACTTTTAGTGGTTCCACAACTGTGATCAGTCTAATAGTCGATGATACAATCTATACAGCCAATGTTGGAGATTCCAGATCAATAATTTGTAGACAACAAAGTAATGGATCTAGAAGTGCTATTTCCTTATCAAATGACCACAAGCCAGACTTACCTTAAGAGAAAAGAAGAATTGAACAGAAGGGAGGAAGAGTAGAACCTTACATAGATTTTGATGGATCAAGTTTAGGTCCAGCAAGAGTCTGGTTAAAAACAGAGGATATTCCAGGACTGGCTATGAGTAGAAGTTTTGGTGATAAGGTTGCAGCAAGTTGTGGAGTTATTTGTGAACCAGGTAATTAAATGACATAATTCTATTTAGAAATTCTCGCATATAAAATGTAGGAAGGAGACTTATTTATGGTTCTGGCATCTGATGGCGTGTGGGAATTCCTAAGCAATGAATAAGTACTCTCATTTATTAATTAAGGTGATAGATATGATATATCCATATTATGCTCAAGATGAAGGAAATGCTGCATGTGTTAGAATTGTAAAGGAATCCATTAAATTATGGAAATTGAATGATACAGTAATTGATGATATTACTGTTGTTATTGTATTCTTCAACAAATAAAAATGATAATCATTCATCAATTAATTCATCAATATACTACTCTTCGGCTTATTTATAAAGTCTAAACTTTTAATTGTCAGCTTATTCTAACATGTATTCTTTTTCAATCTTATACTTATTTAATCCTTCAACTATCAATTCCTCTATATTCTCCTCATGCACTCCACTTAATTGAAAATATGGTAATTGTTGTTGATAGAATGATAAGTTTGTAGAATTAAATCTTAACCTTTAATCTGGATTTATTGAATTTTGTTGACTCATGTAGAAACTAGGTTGCCTAATGATTTCTAATTATCTATATTTTGGATCAACATATAAAGCATTCTTATTGTTCACATCTTAAAATACTGACTGATGTTAAGTGTCTTCTTAAATAGTTTCTTCTTTAGCCTCGCTTTGTCTTAATGACATATACCATTAATTGATTGTTTTCTCCCCTTAAGTTAGTTTTAATGCTTCTTATAATTAGATCTACTCAATCTTCCTTCTGAATTCTATATATAATATATATTCAATACATGAGCACGAGTTTAATATAGATTCATTAGATGTCCTATTCGTTGTATTAATTGATTTAGATATTTCTTCATTCCATAATTTGAGTTAGCATTCATACTTATTTAATACTTTATTTTGTTAGATTAACTTCAATTATTCAATTTTTTATTAGGATTGTTTTCTTACTATTTAATCTGAAGATTCCTTATTTTAATTAACCCTACTCTAATAATAAGTACTCATTTACTTCAATCAAACGACATAACTTTATTAGATCTTATTTCGATACTAAATCAAAATCTTTGTTCCTTTTAGTTTATTCATTCCTTTGAGAATGCTCAGAGTGTTATTATTATTATTATTATTATTACTATTATTTATTTGATAAATTCGTAGATTTCCTTGAACTTATTCTTCTTACAAATTTCATAGTGGTGTTACTAATGTTTGTTTGATTAACAAACTTAATCCCAGCCCTCTGCTATTCTTTTACTTTATAAAATATATCAGGTTTTCCAACTATTGATCTTTCAATCACTCCATGCTTATCAAATATTGGTCCTAATAGGATTTAATCACTAAATACCCTATCGAAGTTCCTGATTTGGTGTTAATTCTATAATTATGAATATTCATTTACTATGAAAAATATTATACGAATGACTTCTGGTTTTATTGAGAATCTAAAGAAAATTAATGAAATCAGATTTTACATCAATTTATTCTGGTTCTAACAAAGATGTGAGCAAATATTTTTTTTTTTGCAAATTAAAACTCGCTTTTGACATTCAAGTTAAGATTAAAAATATAATAATTATTATTATTTTATTTTATTTATTTTTAATAATCTAATAGATATTAAACAATAAATATATATACTATAACTATTATTCAGTTATATTATATTATAAGTTCTTGGAAAAGTTTTAAAATACAATCCAAGAATGATTACATTATTATAATAAAGAATATTACTACTAAATTCAATGAAGTTTTCTTCGTAATTCCAAAAATTGAATTGAGAATTTTAGTATTCTATTATTAGTTAAATAAATCAAACAATTATTGAATCAATAAAGTTTAGAAATCTTTGGCAATAAGGTTCTGGACTTCGACAAGATAAATCTTTCTTCTTTTTGAATTGAATGCTCCTTTTGAAACATTATTCACTTTTTTTGTAGTAATTGAATCTTTATAAATAATCAATTATGGAAAATGAATATATTGTGTTTTGGGCTCCATTGGTGACAAGTCGATAATCATTGTTATTGATTTATTATGGTTTTTCAAGACAAATTCCCAATAGCAATGAATAATCCATATATCCAATATCCCTAAGAAATCTGCAATCATCCATAAATTATTTCTTTATTTCATTAGAAATCTCTTTGGGCAAGCTTATAGGATTGCGAGTAGATTGTTTAAAATTATTATCCTTCTTTACTCTTTCATCGGATCTTGAGGTTCTATTGATAGTTGAACCTTTTAAGTCATATATCTCGTATTCATGTTCCAAATTTTACATTTATTCAAATGAATTCTCCATTAATACTAAATATTACGTTTTATAGGCCATCAGTTTAATTTTAAAGATTCCATAAATCTTAGCAATTAGTGATTTGTTATGATAATTGATGTGATCAAAATATGGACCAATTCGTCCATCTAAAAAATCTTTAATCTCTGACTTTTCCACTGTTTTGAGAATGAGTTTATGATTTTGACTATAAAAGAAAAATGCCCCACTTCTGCCCATGGATTCCTTTGCCTATTCAAAAGCCTTGTAATTGTATTACAATTCCAAAGTGTATTCTAAGATACTCTTATTAAAATTATTCAATTTCAAAAGAGAAGTAAAACCATTTGGATAGTATGTATTAACTAAAATGATTGAATCTTTGACGTCGTCTTCTTCATTTAAAGAAATTCTGCTCTCATTTAATTCAGATAAGTGAAATTTAAATGTGTAAGTTCTTTTGATCTCCCTTTCCTTCAAATGATGATCAAATTGCATAATCAGACTAGCAAAGACAGCTTTAACCAATCCCTTGACAAGTTCATTGATTTAGGTTTTGAGTAGTTTCTCATACGTAGGGATCAGTCGATTATGAATATCAGTATTTAATCCATATTCAATATTTTCAATATCTTGGATGTAGGACTGGTCCTGAAAGGATCTAAAGAACACCGATAAGAGTTTGTGATAGGAGTACGGTTGGATTAGATGAAAAATAGCAAAGAATAGACCTTCTAGACTCAAGGCAATTTTTAAGACCAATTATTCATAAGCCTTAGTCAGGTTGTAATTGTCAAACGAGGTAATTATATTAATCGCCAAAATTGCAGATATCCAATAGAATTGTTGTTTGACAAAATCAGACTTAAATTCGTAAAGTCTCCTACTTTATAGTGTCTTATTTTTATTCAAAATTATCCATATGGCGATGTAGAAGAGAGTGCAAATCAAACAACTAACAAAATTAATGTAGGATGCCATATCATTTAGTGTGTTAATTGCGTTGGTGTTAGAATGATGAAGTTCCTACAATAATAGTAGAGGTATAACTATCATTACCATAGTTAGTAGACATTGTAATAATAATAAAAATATGAAAACGGAGGAGGAGGTAGCTTAAAATGGGTTGTAAATACAAATTTTTACTTCATTCAAAAATAGGATAAATTAATTTGAGATTAGAGTGATAGTAATTCCTATTAGGGATGAGGTTAACATTTGTATTTTATTGAATTTTGAGTGATTGTAAGGGTTATTGCCGTAAATGATAACGATGGTTTGATCAATATAGAGAAATACGCCTAGTAATATATATAAGCAAGAGATCCAGACTATGATTCTAAAATATTATGAAAAATAACACTTGGAAGGATATTTTCTATAAATTGGGGAAACTATCCCTAAAATACAAATTAGAAGGCATGCCATCACTGATAAGGTTATGCAACCAATGCAAATGTAAGCTACTGTCACCTTGTTCATTGGGTTATTTAACTTTAATTAATTATTTAATATTTATACAGGATTTCATAATAGTGTTACTTCGTGTATTTGATGGAATAAGATCAGCTATAACACATTAACCATTGTTATATCATTTCTTATAATTTATCAATTAATCTTAAACGATTATATTTAAAATATATTTTAATAAAATGGGAGAGAAGAAAATAGACAAATACGTGTTCAATGTGAAGAATAAGGCTGGAGAAGGATCTTATGCCACTGTTTATAAAGGAGTCAACGAGAAAACAGGAGAGAAGGTGGCTATCAAAATGTTGAGTAAATCTGTGATAAATGCGTACAATTTGAGAGTAAATAGACAGGGATGATTATTTGAGAGAGGGGTTGATCTAAGAAATCAAAATAATGTAAAAGCTCAAGAGTCCAAATATAGTCTAACTCTTAGATGTAATGGAAACTTCAAATAACTATTATATTGTATAAGAGTTTTGCGATGGAGGCGATTTCGATGAGTATTTATAGATGTTCACTATTAAAAGATTGCTCAAGAAGCGAAAAATCCTCAGTGAAAAGGAGGCGATCAAATTTTTGGTTGATGTTTTAAATGGTTTCACTTAATTAATTAAGAATGGAATTACACATAGGGATCTCAAACCCGCCAATATTTTAATTGACAAGGCTGTATTCTTATAAAATTATTTAATTCCCATAGACATTTAAATTGGCTGATTTTGGATTCGCCAAATGTGTTGATAATTTTAAAAAGGACATGATGTCATCTATGGTTGGAACGCCCTTGTATATGAGTCCGCAAATACTGGATCATAAAAGATACAACTCTAAAACTGATGTCTGGAGTATAGGGTTCATCTTCTATGAAGCATTATTCGGCAAGAGTAACCTTTCCTTATCATCCTAAGCTCCTTGGACTGCTCGATCTCCTGCTGAATTACTGAAGAACATAAGAAGCTAACCATTAAAATTTCCAACTGACAAAATACCAGTCTCTCAAGAAACCTTGGATTTGATCATTGGGTGTCTCTAACCAGATGAATCAAAGCGTTTCTCTTGGGATGAAATCTACAAGCATCCTGCTGTTGCCTAATACTTTACTGATTTCATAAAAGGCAATTCCAAGCTTGAAGATAAAGCCTAATATTTAATAAATGATATAAGGTTGATGATTATTAAAGACAAATTAGACTTAACTTAATTATTCGCTGAATTGGATATGTCTAAGGATAAGGCATTGGATGTAAATGAATTGGGTCGATTTTTAACTAGAGTTGACAAAGATATACAAAGAGATGAAATAGAATATATATTTAATAAATTTGATGAGGATGGAAGTAATTCAATAGAATTCGAAGAGTTTAAGAAATGGTTGGAAGACAATTCTATTCATGTTGATTAAGAGTAACAAAACAGAGATAAGTAAAAGAAACAATCCTTATTATAAAAAAATAATGTCGAAGAAAGGGCAAATTATGTAATCGAAAAGTTAAAGCTCTCTATTATTAAATACAACATCCAATTAATTGATTTATTTAAAAAGGTTATACTTCCATTATATTATTATCATAGTTTGACAAATCTGCAGATTTGAGATTAGATATCAAAGAAATGGGAATGATGTTGAAGAGGATTGAACCAAATATTACAGAAGATGAAACAAAAACAGTTTTTGATTACTTTGACATAAATAAAGATGGAGAGATCACATTTTAAGAGTTTTAGACAAATTTAGAAGAATGCATAGTCCGTAAAAAATGAAATACAAATTTTTGAACATTTTTATGGATGTTTCCATATTTAAAATATATGTAATATTTCAAATGCAGAACCAACACTATATTTTTTATCTATTTAATATTTTCATTTAAGCTAATTAAAAAATCTTCTTTAAGCTCTACTCATTTTAAAACTAATTTTAAAATTAATACACACTTCTTAATGAAATAATAAATAAATGATTTTAATGTCAATATTTCTAAACAAGTTCAATATGCATATTTCCAAAAGGCAAATAGAGTTGATAATAGAGTTTTATTTAAATTAATTATATATAATATATGGCCTAAAGAATATTGAATTCAGGACCATTAGATGAGACTCAAACCATTATCTAGGAGAAATTTTTATCTAAGGAAAAGCTAGTACTATCAAAGTGTATTCCGCAAAACAAATCCCATATAAGAAATTTAACCTATTTTGGCATGAAAGAGCAGAATCTGAAATATTAGACAGAGGAGGACAATGCTGAATCCTTAGAAAAATGGTTGTTAAAACAAAAGAATGTTGACTACTGGAATATATTGTCCTAATTGCTCGTTGGAATATCGTAGATACACTAACTTGGATTTATTGGTAGAAGCATAAAATATGAGGAGATTAGAGTTATTAATAATAATTTAATTTACAGAACTTTTGATTATGCAGATCGTCTCAATTGTGCTCCAGAAAATAAAGTATTGAAATTCTCGACTTACGAAACTGATCTTTGGTTAATAGGAGCCATTATGTGGAGAATTATAAAGGGAAATTCAATATATGAAGAACTACAATAAAGCGATAATATAAATGAAATAAAACTAACTTTTAATTTCTAGAGAAATGAAGCAGGTGTAGATGAAGAACTATATTAATTGCTTTCGAAAATGCTTTAAATTTACTAAAATAATCGAATCTCCTTAGTTTAAATCTTCTAATACCCTAAACTAAACCTGCCTTCTACTTAAATATAAACAATCTGCAATTTCTACTAAAAAATATAATTAAAAACTATATTGAAGTTTAGAAAGAACTCATTTTTGAGGGATTATTCACTGTATTAAAGCAAACCCAACTTGAATCCAAGGATATTTTGCTTTTATTTAGAGGATTCTCCAATCTTGAGATGTTTCTATTAACATTATGTTGAAATCCAACTACTTAGTTTTGCTTATCATTTGTCGTTTTACTTTCCTAACAAAGATCCCAATGTCTAAAAAGAATTAGATAAATTGATAATTTAAAAGATGATTTTAGTCTCCAAACAATTAAAATAATAAATCATCTTGACTTTATTACCAACTTAATTTAAAGGCTAAGAGGAATTATTCATTAATGATCCTAATTACCATTAACTTAAAAATCAAGTCATCACTTAATTGAATAAACTAATTGAAATGAATAAGAAGTATTTTTAGGATTCTGAATTACTCAAGATGTAAGAAATAGATTAGAAATTTAATTCTTATTCTACTGATGGTAGTGTAACTCTCATGAGTTATCTATTGATTAATATTCTAAAAAATAGTAGTGTTAATGAGAAATCTAATATTTACATTTAGTCTCTGACCTTAGAAGAAATATTCGAAAACGAAGTTCAAGAAAGACTTAAATGATATTTGAGTATTAATAATATTAATATATTAATAAAGTTACATAATATATAGATCAATTTGTCTTTAAAGAGATACTGTAAAATTGTGATTTAATGAGAAATAGAGTCGTCTCTTTTCGCAAATTAATCAGATATAACAATTCAATAAATTACAATTTACCATCTCTATTGAAAGTTTTACTAACCATTTGAATATATCATATATTTCAAAATTAAGTAAAATTTTATTTCAATATTATATCAATCGATCATGGGTTGCTGTAGCTAAATTTATGCATAGTAAGTTTATTTAGAGTTTTCTTAAATTTTCTAATAGATCTCATCAAAGTTATCGTAAATTAACTTAAAACTATAATAAGTCACTTCCAGTTATACTTAAAATATTTAATTAAATTTACTGGATTGGGCTATTTGACTCTCATAAATATTTAAGCCATATATTTAGAAGTTTCATTCTTTGTCCATTAAAAATTATAGATATCAATTTCGGAGCACTCTCTTCACCATCTGCATTTCTCCCTTCTTTTGGTTCCTTATCACCACCATCTCCTTCTTATTTTGGAGGAGAAACTTCTGGCTTTTGTAGAATCCATTCAGGATCGCTTATTTCAGAATTTAATTGTTATTCTGTAATGGCATAGAGAACTTTAATTTTTTTATCCTAAACTCTTTTCAACAATCGCTATTTCATCTATGGCTCTGGGGAAGATTTGTTCTAATAATCCTTTTTTTCCTGTCTAATCTGCTCAAATGTATCCCTCTCCTTCTTTCAAGAAATTAATCAAACCTGTAATTGGATATAATTTATCTTCAAAAATTCTAAATTCTTAGTATTTCTCTGTAAACTTGTTAAAACAAATTTATTTTATTTTGGATCTTGATATAATAATATCTTAACAATCTATTTGCATTTAAGGTGGTACTGCTTGCCTGAATTTAAGAATGCTCCCATTTCCTTTCCCAATTGAGTTCTTTTTGCTAATTCGTTCTCGCATAAAGTTTCTAAATGCAAGTGTATATATTCTAACTAAGTTTCTAATTTATTTAAATAGATTTCTGCAAGTTCCTCGTTATTATATGTTAATGCTACAAAGACTTTTGGTCTCAATTGAGTCATAATAGCCTCAATAATTAGATCTGTGGATTAATAAAAATTGTTAGACATCCCTATGTAGAGAGCATCGACAGTTACAAAGTATTGAAACTACTTTAAATAAACTAATAATTCATCACGATTTTGGACAAAATTAGTAAATTTAGAAAAACGACATCTCTTTTGTTCCTCAGTACTCAATAATATTATGCTTTATTCAACCTCATCTTTACTGGATTAGAAATAAACCACAAATCTGGGTTTTCAGTAATTTTCAAAGAATACTACTGCTTATGACTTTTCATTAAGAAAACCATCAACAATTTAATTTTTAGGTTCTTACTAAAATATTAACATTAGCTTATTCAATTTATCAATTTCACTTTAAGCCTTCACTTATAATAGAATTCCTCTAAATTAAAATAACATATCCAGTTTTATTTAGCTACTTATCGTGCTACATATGAATTGGCAGTTGCAGGTGGATCATAAAAAAATATTATATTTACCTACTTCATGTTAATTAAGCTATTTTATTTTTTATACATATCAAATTTAATCCCTTAGCATTGTTATTGCATCTGATTTGAAGAGAGATCAAAAGATAATACTTTTTGTATCTCTGAAAACTATCCCAATTTAATTAATGTATTTTTTAACAAAAAAAAATTAACCACCCTATCAAGGTGGTTTGACCTTCATTTCTCACCTCTTTCATTAAAAGCAGTAGGAGCAAATTTCAACCAATAAAATTATTTAACTCAATGAGGAACTCATTATATAATAAAAAAAGCAAGTTACCAGTCCTAGAGAAAAAGCTTAATCTAGGGATAAGGAAAAGGCAAACATTAGATAAATAACCATTAGATCATACTCCTCATTATAAGTTAACGATTTAGTTGAAAATGCTTTAAAAAAGGAGAAATTCCACATCAGATTAAAGAGTCCAAACAAATTCTGTCGAGTCAAAGCATTATAGGAAATAAGAGAAAGGCAGAAATCACCCACTTTTCTTATTAAGTAAAGAACATAGCCAATTTATTCATAAAGCATTCCATCTACTGCTAGAGTAAATGGATATTGATTATTCATTTATTTTATTTCATCTAAAAATACATAATTAAACTTCTATTAAGTGTCTCTAAATTTACAATTCAAAATAGGAATTAATTGAAATAAATAAAATAACAAGAGCGAATTGAATTCTTTTTAAAAGATTTCAATTTAGTGAAAATAATTAGAAGCAAGAATAGCATAAATTCCATATAAATAAATTAAATCACTTAAGGGAACGTCCAGTTTATAAATTGATTTAAGTACTTTTGATAACAAATAAATTTATATTGATATTTTATTTGATGGGAGAATTGTTTTAAATTTAATAAATTAGTATTGAATAATGGTTTTTTAATACATATATATAATAGATATATCAAATAAATTAAACATGCTCGTAATCCTAACCATTTCCTTAGATGAGAATGGAAGTAGTTTAATTTAATTTAGGCAATTATTACAACAATTGAGATGCATTTCTCGATAGGGTATGCTGAGGCATCTGTTCTTATAATTCTGCCGGGAGAGTTTGAACTCTCTCTAGAATGTGCCAAGATTTTATCTTAGTTACGAAGAGCATTTTTTTTATGACGTAGAGAAGACACATAAAAATGGGAACTAAAAACAGAAAGACTATTACTGCGAAGCCTAAATATTGATATATAATAGGGATACCAATCATAGTAATAGGACTACTCAAAAAACTAGATTGTTGATTATTATTATCATTTCCATCAAAAATATTGACACTAAATTTACATATATATAGATTACATTTGAACAACCAAAAAAGCCTGGAGAGCTGTAAAGCCTAGAAATATAAAGAGAAGACAAATTAGTGCAATCATATTTTCCAAATTTGATTTACATGCTTTTCTCTCTAAATACAATCATATTGATACAGGAAGACAAACTTTACGTGAGGTAAATTCAATTGAATATTCGATCTTGCAGATTTCACAACAAGTAAATATCTATTTGTTTTATGTAACTATCCAGGTTTTGAGACACTCATTGTAAATATAGAGTCTTACCTCTTCGTGAACTTATCCAAGAGAACCCTTGCATTTGCAAGGTTGAATAATTGGTTTATCGTTATCCAGTTCAGTTTCAAGACAAATTCGACAGGATTTTGCCTCTTATTACTCAATAAAGATGGGTTGTTTGACTTTTAAAGCAGATCTTGTCTATTGGGTTTCAATGGTTATTTTATTCATTATTGTATTTAATAATATTTTTGTTTTGATGACCTAATATGACTTATGTTTATAAAAAGAATGAAAATCATAGGAGTAGGTTCCAACGGTATTGTAATGTTGGGAGAATGCATTTCAGCAATTAAACAATAAAATTTTGTAATGATTCTTTAATTTAGAATAAAATTACTATCAAATTACTTAATTTTTTGAATAAAGAAAAAGCTTAAGAATTATTAATAAAATTTAGCCAAATTGGAATCTATTGTGAAACTAATTGACTATTAATTTATGCAAAGAATACAATATCTTTTGATATGCACACTAATAATTATAGAAAATCAGCAATTGCAACTTTAACTTTAAACATGGTTAGTTTTAGTGGTTAGATTTTGCTTTAAAGGATTTTTTAATTATGGATTGAATTCATCTTTTTCAATTTGACCTATCTTAAGAGGTGCTTTATACCTTTTTCAATTTTATTGTAGATCTAATCAATCAAAGATTAGAAACATTTGTCCACATTTTCTCCAGTCATGGCACTTGTTTCAACGTAAAGAACATCTTTGTTTCTCATATCTCGTTCAGCATAATCTTTATCTACGACTCTTTAATCTGTCAAATCGATTTTATTCCCAACTACAATAATATCTAGATCGCTCTTCCCATTTTCCCTGGCATCCTTAATCCAATCATCTAAAGCTTCATATGAGTCTTAACTATTAATAGAAGAATTGATGGACATACCTTGTCACATCATAAACTAGAATTGCTCCTATGGTATTCTTAAAATAAGTTCTGGCGATTGAACGGAATCTCTCTTATCCAGCAGTGTCCCATATTTATAGTTTGATGTTCTTGTTTTTGTATACGAAAAATTTGGATTAGAATTCGATTCCCACTGTTTATTGAACTTTCTTTCTTGCTATTAAAGTTGATCAAAATTATGATAAACATTGTACAATTCTATTTTATGAAGTATTACAATATCGAAGTTTTGCCAGTGCTTGAATTTCCTATTAAGATGAACTTAAAAATGTAGTCTGCACTCTATTCTTAATTAAGTCCCTTCATAATTTAAAAATATAATAAATGAAAAACTTATCTATAAATCATTTTCCCCATCCATTTTATTGTTGCTAAGGATATTAATAATTAGGTTGGTATTACGGTGGCTATGAATACTGCTATTGTTGATATGGCTGTTATTAATATTGATAAGGTTATTGATAAGCTTGTTGATATGGCTATTGATAATTGTTCGTCTACGGAATGTTGGGTTGTTACTAGATGTACACTTGTTGTTGATACTGCTATTATTGAGGTCTTGGTGGAGGTGGATTGTTATTATCATTGCTCTTGAAACAATCTGACAATTTATCGAAGAACTAGACTAAATAGAATATGATACTGATCTATCCTGATGAACAGGTCTCGCTTATTGATAGTTTGGCTACTGTTATGGTGGTTGATAGTATTGATTTTATTATTATTGATCCATGTTTGTATTCATTTAGTTCATTCTAGGATTTGCTCTTCCGAGAGAGAGAAATCCAAATAATCTCTTTCCAGATTGCAACCATCCCTTTCTTCCTTCATTGTACTTAGCCTTTTTTTGTTCCGTGTATTCCTTTGAGTATTTCTTCTTGTCCTTTCCCACATCGCACAATCCACAGGTCATAATTAAACAACAACATCTGAACTAGCAAATTAAAAGAGTTATTTACACAGCCTCCGCAACTACAACTGCCATCATCACAAGAGTACAAAATGACAGTTATGATAAAAATCAAAAATCCAACTATTAGGTACACAATCATGCAGATCAAGTTGATTGTTAATGCAGTCATTAGGAACCCATTATTTTCTTGTCGACAAGGGGAGATATCAGGCTTGATTATTTATATTTGAATACCTCATTATTTGCAGCTGAGAAACATATTATGAGCCAAATTACAAAGAAGATTAGTGCAAATATGTATATGCAAACGAACCAATCATATAAGATTAGATCCACTGTTTGCTCCCAAAATGTTTTTTAGTTTTCCACTTTATATTTACCATAATAGCCATAATGAAATGTTATGTAGAGACAGAACAAAAAGTTTACCAAATTATTGATCCCCTAAATTATAAGAAAAGTCTTTATGTTTTCTTGACAATCAAAATCAGAACTCTGTATTAATGACACTACCATTATGATGAATGGAATTATTGAGACAAAAAAAGTAATGAAAGTACAGAATGAGAAAGGTGTAGAAAAACAATTTGAAATTGCATCGCAACATTCTCCACAACATTCCTTGCAGTTATATGAATTTATTTACTTCGCAACATCTACAACAGCTACGACAGCAATTATCGCATCCCTTACAAACATAGTACATTCTTAGTTAAGTTAAAACTTATAAAAAATATAGAGTTATTATTAAAAACTGTTTAAAGGAAGTTTTGTAAAACATTCTATCATCTCACATTATTCTATATTTAATTTTAATATTTCATAATACCAAATATATATTACTCAGAACTAATTTACAAGGAAATTTGAATCGATATTGATATGCTTACATTTTTATATTTATCTTATAGTAATTAAAATAATTTATAGTGCTAAAACTAGAGACTGAGAATAATAAATGTTGAACAACTCCAAAAAGTAGAAAAGTAAGTCTAAAAAGTTGTCAAAGTCAAAGGATTCAGAAGTGAAATCTAGTTGTGAGAGCGCTAATTTCAAATCTGAATAGGCGGCATGCTAATATGGGTATTATATAATTCCATTAGAAAGGCAAACTACAATAAAAAAGGTTAAGAATGAAAAGGACATATCCCCCATTCTAGAGGAAGAAATTCCTTTTGGTTCTTCGATATTATAATAATCTAATTTGTAGGATTATGATAAATTAATATGTGAAGAAGTTGTGAAGGACTTTACTTCCTTCACATTCAATAACTCATTAGAACATTAAATTAGTCAGGAAGATGAGTACGAAACTTTGTCAGAATTTATGAGAGAATAAGTAAAATACGAAGAAAATTATAGTTATAAAAAAAATTATCTCAATAATTAGAATGAAATTTAAAGTCACATGGTGGCAATTTTATTCGATTGGCTTATCGAAGTTGCTCATTCATTCCATTTCAAAAGGGAAACCTTCTATTTGTCAATCAATTACGTGGAAAGGTATCTCTTAAGACAACCAAATGTTCAAATATCCAAATTTCAACTTTTAGGAGTGGCAGCTATCTTTATAGCTCACAAATGCGAGGAAATCTATCCCAAAACCTTAAAGGATTTTCATCGACTGATCCAAGACCAATACACAATTTAAGAGATTGAGTAGATGGAGGTTGTAATATTAAAATCACTTAACTTTCGAATGTATCCAAACACTCCCATATTTTGGTTAAATTATTACACCAAATTATGGGATGAATTCATTATAGACAAAGACCCTTGTGTTATGTTTAAGGAGAGAACAAATGAGGCATATTACAGATATAGAGAGTTGGTGCAGTTATTTGATGTCTGTTTGATAGATTATCAATACAAACAGAATGAAAAGCTGACTATTTTGGGTCTGATTTATCTGGTTGTTGCCAAATAATTGCAAATATTTGATGAGTATGAAACCATGGCTATATCATAATCCGAAATTTGTGATTTCTACCATTCAGATGAAGAGGGGTACAACAAATTGTTCAGATAATTCATACTCTAATCAGAAATCTATTTAGAATTTGATAGACGAATCTTCTTTGAGGACTTAAATGACGTGATTTACCAATTGTTGAAGTATTTCATCCTTCGATTTGATAACTCCTTACCAAGAGTGTTACTAAATAACCAATAGTTTATTGATGAAGTAATATATCTATGTTATTAAAATAGATGTAACATGAAGAATTACTATCATTTTAGACATACAACAAAAGTACAATAGAAACTATCACAATTATTTCAAAAAAAAATTAATGATTTAAGATTTCTTTATTTCAATAGATTACACATAATAAATATAAAATAACTTTAATTAAATCTCGCTCAATTAGCTGTTTTTAATCAAATCCACGATATCAAAGTTTTTTCTAATTATAAAATTAATTAAGCATGTTATATTAAAGTGACAAAAATGAAATACCATTTAATGGGCAATTCGAAGATAGCGAGGAGGAATCAGACGAACTTTCTGAAGAAGACTCCGAAGATGATGGATTGTAAAATAGAAGAAGGAGAAAAAGAAGATAGTTAGTTAACAATAACAAATTATTAATAATGAATGTATCGGACACTTAATACGCTGCTGTTAAATTTGTAGGCAAAATCTTGAATAAATTTAAATTACAATACACTCCATACTAAGAAACCTAAGTCTGGGATTTCTGTTGGACTGATAATGCAGTGCTACCTGAAACTCTGGCGAGAATGTAAAGTATTATATATATTTATTTAAAATAGGTCATTAGAGGATTAATCATTTCCCAGGCATGTACTGCATAGCTAGAAAGAACTATTTAGGCAAGAATTTAAATAAAATGGCTAAATAATTTCCAGATGAGTTTGACTTTTATCCAAAAACTTGGATGCTACCATCTGATATCTCAGATCTTAGGCAAAATATTAAAAAAATAAAATACTTTATTGTAAAACCAGAGGCATCCTGTTAAGGAAGAGGTATGATTCTTGGTTTTTATTAAAGGCATATTCTTAACAAAGTAAGTTGAGTCAATAGCATCCGAACATTGTGTAGTACAAAGATATCTACATAAACCGTTGCTAATAGATGGTTTAAAATTTGATTTTCGTATGTATGTGTTATTGGCAGGTTGTGATCCACTGAGGTAATATATATGTAGTCTACATTAGAATATACCTGTTTAAAGAAGGATTAGCAAGATTTGCTACACAACCATACTAATAGCCCAATCAGATGAATGCTGAAGAAATGTGTATGCATTTGACCAATTATGCGATTAATAAAGACAATCCTAATTTTGTATTCAATACAGATGAATAATAAATGGATGTGGGACATAAAAGAAGTCTATCTAGCGTGTTTAAATTATTATCCTAATAAACAAATATTGATGAATTAATGGCAAAAATTAAGGATTTAATTATAAAAACGTTTTGTTCAGTTCAACCTTTTCTACAATCTAATTACACTCAACCTGATAATCATGCTAACAATATGTGCTTTGAGATTCTGGGATTCGATATCCTTCTTGATAATACATATAAACCTTATCTATTAGAAGTGAATCATACACCAAGTTTCACTGCAGACACTCCTCTTGATGCTATAATCAAAAAGAATCTAATTAGAGACACTATTACACTGATGAATATCAATTTAAAAGTTAAAAATGACCTTTAGTAATTGTAAAAAGAGTAGATGCAACGAAGAGTACTTGGAAAGAAACCTAAAATTTCAAATGAAGAAAAGAAATCACTCAAAATTTAAGCATAAATAGAAAGAGAATAATATGAGTCCTAACATTTGGGGAATTTTGAAAAGATTTATCCTAGTGACAAGTCTTATGAAGATTATCTATAGCATGCATAAAAACTATATGAAGAATGGACTGGAGCAAGTAATTTAGAATAATATATGTATCTATAGATATCCGTAGGAATATTAAAAAAGATAATTTTACTGAGAGAGAGAAACTAATATAGTAAAGATAGATATAGCACTCCATCACTGTTTAAGGCTCTGTTGATTCTAGAAACAAATTGGATCCCTCTAAATCATCAAACAGAAAGAGTTTATATAAGAACATAACAATCAAAAAGGAAAATAAACAAAATTTAATTAAGTATTATTGAATCATAATATATAGCAAAGTATTTTCAAACCCTTAAAAATCTATGACTGAATTACCTCAATAACAACCTCTAGAACTGAAAATATAGGATAGAGATGATAATGAAATTGCTTCTGAAGACTAATAAAATACTAGTAAGTTTTAGGAGAACATCGATAGATTTAAAAGGCCTCCTTCCTTTTACACAATGAAATCAACTAAATAACACCAAGAATTGCAAATAGCAGACTTTTTTAACTATAAAAGAATCAGTTTTCCTGATACTTCTCCTTTATCATAACCAAACACCTAATAAGTATTACAAATTTCATCTTAATAATAATTAAAATCTTCTGCTTAAATGACAAGAAAGTTTTCAATCCGCAAATCAAATAAAAGCAAATTAAAATCAAGTGAAAGTGATTAAGAAGCTAAAAAAGAAATGATTCAAGCTTTTAATCAATTCTCTTAAATTTAGTAATAACAATAACAATCATCCTTTTTCTAATCTTAATAATAAAATTTTTAAAATTAGTAACCACAACAGAATGGTTCATTTGTTAAACCAAAAGTGTTTAATTTAAAATTATAACCACCTCATTTTAAAATACCTTCTTTTCCAATATTAATGCAATAATAAAATTACTATAAATTAAGATATGATTGATATTAATTTGTTTAATTATTATAATCTAGTCAAATGCAAAATTCTTATCTCCATTATGTAAATTATTAGATTTCAGAATCTGATACAGAACTCTTTTAAACTTAAAGTACATCTAAAATACAATCATAGAAATCTTCCTTTCATAAGTAGAAATCTTACATCATTTTTTGCTTATTACTTTTACTCGTATAACTATACAGCCGTTATAAACAACTTCTTAAGATCCAAACCTGCAAATTACTTAGTATTTTTGGCTAATTCTGCTATTTCCTCATTTTTCATCCAGTATTGCTTATTTTAGAACAATTTTTAATTGATGAATTCTAATCTTTATTTTTCTGTCATCAAAGTGATTTCTATTCTATTCTCGAAGCTATTCTTTATTAATTATTCTTTACATCCTTCGGATTGAATGATGAATGTTCCATGGTTAGTTAGTACATCCAATCACATTTGATGCTAATCTATCATTTTCTACTAAGTTTATAAGATTATATTTTTCAAAAAATTTAATCAATGTTTCTCTATTTTTACATTCTTCTAGTTATTTAAGCACAATTATAAAAGATCTATTTTTCGTTTATTATTCTATTTGATTCATTAATTCTTATACGGTATTTTATTCCTCCACCTCAATGATCATCGATATATTGACTATTATTAGAAGTGCCTTGCATTCTGAAGCAATCTATCTTAATAATTCAGTTTTTCCTGTTCCTCTAGGCTAATTGTTAATGTAGAATATTTACTCCAAATAATAATGTCGACGTTTGTAATTTTCTCTTTCCTTAAAACAACTAGGGAAATAATAACGGCAATGCAATACGCTCGTTTAATATCTATTTTTGTGATTCCAACCCTACTATATTAGTATTATTATTTTAAGTAGGTTGATGAATTTCAACATATTTAGCATATTATGCATTATATAATTAAATGTCTTTGTTTGAGTCTTGAGTATATAGGAGTTCTTATTTTTTAACTTAAACAACTTCAACTTCATCAGTTTATTGATTTTTTTTCATTGCCTCAGAGAAGTTGCTTAACTCATCTATATATCTTTTTAACTATTAGCTCATTATCATTTTTAAATTCTCATCCTTTTCATTTCTTATATAATTTAAGAGTTCTCCACACCCTTTTTTCATCTTAGAATAGTTTAGTTACTTCATCTCATAGTTGGTTGCCTTTTAAAAGTTCTCCCTGCCTAAGATTCAACTTTTGATTACCTTCTACTATTAATCTTAGAGATTAATTAAGATCCTCTTCTAATATTTAATTGGACATTTAATGTTATAATATTTATAAAATTAAAGGCTAATATAATTATTAACAAATAATCCTCTAATATATTCAATAATTATTTATATTTTGTAATTTTATTTGATTCTCACTCTATTAGCTATCTATCTATGAAATCGTTTAATAAAGGGAAAAAGGCTGTCGATATAAAGCAAGACTGCTATTGGCATATTTAATTATGTTCTGCTTTGCTTATTCCTTGATCTCAAATGGATATAGTTTTAATATTATTATTTATAAATTAATGTAGCAATCAAATCCTCTACTCTTGACAATCTCAAACATTTTAGATGAAATAATCAAAGAAACAGATGCACTTGAGATAGAGTATAACTCTATTTTTCATGCAAATAAAGCTCCTTCAATTACAATCTACAATTACTTGCAAAGAATAGCTAAATACACACATTGTAGTGAATAATGCTTTGTTATTGCCCTAATATACTTAGATAGGTTGTAAGAGAAACATACATATCTTGTATTGAATTCCCATTGCATTCATAGGTATATATCTATTTTATAAAACTCATTTACAGGTTTCTTTTATTGTCAATTATGACGGCTATCAAGTTTTAGGATGATGATTATTACAAAAATGAGTTTTATGCTAAGGTAGGAGGAATAAATGTCAAAGAAATAAATGTTTTAGAGTAAGAATATTTAGAATACATGGATTACTAATTATTTGTAGATGATTAACAATATGCCATATACGAAAAAAGATTGCTTGAATTCGGCGAGATTGAGATGCCATGACAATTGTTGAGGTGTATATTAATATTTGATTTTTTTGTTCTTTTTTAGACAATAATTCTCTCATAAATTCAAAAAACATATTTTTTTTTCATAGAAGGATCAATACCTATATCAATTATTTGGTTTGATTCAGATTATATCTACAATTACTAAGTAATAATGAGCCATGCTTTAATGTTAAAAATTACAAATATTAGTATAACAATATCGGTTATTTTTCATCGTCTATTCTAACATTAGATATGTAGATAGATGGTTTTACAAAACCACAGACTATTTAGTATTCTAAACAAGATGATTTTATTAATTCCTCTCTCTAATTTGAAAAAAAATTTATTAAAATATTCTCCTACCTCCTAAATTTAAATTCTCAATAAGTTTTTTTAGTTGTTATTGCTAAGCACTGATAGAAATTTATAAATAAGTACCTAAACTTAAAATTTATCAACTTTATTTTATTTTATTTGGTGTATATACATATAATATAGGACCCACTTTGAAAAGTAAGATTTATTGAATTTGTTGGGATAACTTTATGTCAAAATTTTAGATTACACATAATACCAAAAAATTAATCACTTAAAGGCAACTATTGATATTAAGAATTAAATATTAAAATAAGTTCAATATTTTATCAGTTTTAATTAACGCTACAAAATTATACATGTCATTAGCATTTAGTAGTTCATATTTAAAAGTCCAAACACAAAAAGGTTTAATCATAACTAGTTGCAATTATACCATTTTAGATGGGGTGCAAATAAGGCATCTTAATGTGGAATGTTTATATTGATGTTAGTGGAAACATAAAATTGAGATCCAAATCCATAAAAAATGAGTAATATCTTGATATTTATCAATAATATAAAATTCATATATGATCTTCTCTAGATATCTACTTTTGTAAATCAAAAAATTATCATCATTATTGATAATTATAATTTAATAAATTAACTTTAATATAGCATATTAGCAATAAGTATAGTAAAATAACTTAATTAAATTTTTACTTTTAGAGGGGTTGGCTAAATAGGCCCCAAAGTTGCTTTATCTTGATGTAATCAGAAATTTAATTTGTTTGGATTGGTTCATGATGTGATCTCTAAAACTCAATTTTGGTGATATAAAATAAAGTTTATGAGTTTGAAGTAACGAGGACAAAAACAGCTACATAGTGAATAATATTTAAATTTATTGGGAACATTCTTAATTATCAAATATTTGCAAATAAGAAAAATTCTAATTAATCAGCCAATGGTGTGCAAAAGGAGACAAAATTGGAACAGTGAAATATGTCATTATAAACTAATGATTAACGCTATTTATAGATTTAAAATATTTTTGATATCCTTTTTATAGTGATGAAGTATGATAAAATAAGAAAATTAATAAAAACATCTACATTATTAGCGAATATGGCAGTCTAAGTCTCTCACTTAAAGTAGTGCATAATTAGATCAATTTTCATAGTTAAAATTCATTATTTATGAAATCATATCAATTTTTAGAACTTTATTATATTGACGATTGAGCAAATTAAAATAACCAAAATCATCCATAATAATAGTATTTTTTACGATAATTCAATGAAAAAGTGGGCTAACCTCCAGAATAGGGTTTCTATAAAGTTTATTTTATCATTTTAGTTGATGATTACATTCTAAACTGATATACATTTTTAGTAGAGTAAATTACACTTTATCAATACTTAAGTAGTTATAAAATGAATTAAAATTAATAGATATAAAATTACAAGATGATCTTTGAATATTTATAATTGAAGTTATTAATTCTTATGTAATTTCAGAAGACTGTAAATCTCATAATGATTCATTGATTTATGTGAGAACCAGCAATAATATTATTTATTAAAATATTAATTATTTTATGGCATTTCTTTAAAAGTAGTAAATGTTGAAATCAATAATTTTTATACAAAAGCATTAACTGTTTGATATCGAATAGATGCAAAGTGCGCAATAAAAAAGGATTCTAGCCAAATAGAGTCCATAATCAATTAAGTCTAATAAGCTTAAATTATCATTTCAACAAAAGAATGTCAAACTCATAAACATTAATGTCAAAACAAAACTTCGATCTCGTTCTATTCCATCCTCATTTAATCCCTTTAAATATATAGAAACTAAGGGAATGAATAAGAAATAGTCCATTCTTAACACCTAATCTTCCATCGGATCACAAAAACAACTTCGAAAACCTAGAGCTTTGATTCTGAGTGATAAGGACCTTGATAAGTAATACAAGCAGTAGAATAAGGAGTAATTTAAACAAAGGAGAAGAAGTTGCGAGTGCCAATTTTGTGGTCCTTTAAGCAGATTCCAGAAATAATGCATGAATCATGAATTCAGAGTACAGCATATAGAGAAAGAACGGGAATCACCAATGCATAAATTTTAAAGATCCATTCGTAAACATTAAATTTATGTTATGGCACCATATCTATTTGGTATAGAAATACCTACTGAATCGTTGGAATCCTCCTTTGTCAGATAAAATACAATCAAAATTGAGAAAAAAAATACTCGACTACTGGATGTCATTAAATAAGAAGATCCTTTTCAAATTAATTCTTCAAAACTTCTTGAAAGAACACCAACTAAAAAACCTAGTTTTTTTGAATCATTTTTAGTCAAATAAAAAGAAATTATCAGCAGTGAAAAAAGCAAATTAATCAATAAATAGTTTTCGTCATTATCATATCATCTTTTATCGAGAAATGCTTACAAATCTATCAAACCATTTAAATCATAACTTCCTTAAATACAGACTTAGTAATACAAATAAGAGCCAGCCCTTTCTACAGAAAGAAGCACATATAAAAAATCTGAAAAAACAATTAAGGAACTCTACATCAAACCATTCATTAATAAATATTCATCAAGATTGAGATTGACCACTCTACCCGATTTAATTCCAAATCATATTTTATGATTATCTATATGTTTATTATTTAGTTATATTTTAGATTAATTCTATGCTACTCTAATGGCATTATCTACTTAATTCATTTCGAATATATATGAATATGAATTAAATTACAAAAACGAATCATACTCATGTGCTCATAGACTTAAATTTAATTAAAACCAAAGTCATCTCAATAACATTCATTCATTATTCGAGATAATATGTTAAAATAAGAACAAAGGTTCTTAATAGAAGTTTAAAAATACTAAATTTTATAATAAAAAGTAGTCATTTTCAAATTAAAATTACATCTTTATGGAAATTGATCCAGAAAGCAAAGCTAGAAAACTTCGTTCTAGAATAATGGAGCTGAACAGCAAGATGAATGAGTTATAATAAGAATTAGACGCAAAAGAGACAAGGAACACATTTCTTGAAAGAGAAGTATAGGATAGTTAAAAAAATCTCAATAATATGACTATGTATGTTTCAAAGTAAATTGAAATGATGGAAGCTGAAGCACCTTAATAGGAAATTTTAGATAAGAATCGTGTGAGGGAATTTTTTAGATCAATTTCAAAGTAAGTTTTAGAGAAATTTGGTTATCATATTGACAAATACTTCAGATACCTTGAAGAATGCGTTTAGGAAGAATTTCCTGAATAAAATAATATTGAAAGTGATAACTAATATTAGCCACCTCCTATGACTTGTGCCATCTAAGTAAAATGTCCAAAAAACTTGCTATCAAAGGATGTTAAATTTTAGGATGATAACGTAGATTACGTGACCGCAACTTTTAGATATTCTAAAATAAACAGTTTTCAAGATCTAAAAAAAGCATCATTAGTTTATTGGAATATTTACAATATAGAATAGGTGAGGAAAGAGATGCATTATGATGCAGGTCAGACCAGTTGTAATGATTAGCCCACAAAATCCAAAGTAAATTAATAGCCAGATTCTTAAGCAGTAGAATAGATAGACGATATATTGCAGAAATAATAACCAGGGTTAGTAAGTCCAGGATCTATCTAAACAACTACTAGGAACTTAGTTTCTCCCCAAGTTGAATATGTTTAGGAATGCGGAAATAATGATCAGATCATGTTAGAAAAGTTTTGTAATAGATATGAAATTGTCAATGATAATCAAGAGAATATACAAAACACAGAATTGATTGAGCGTTATTATAACAAAGTGTTAGCGGATTAAAATATATCGTATCTATCTGTGACATTGAAAAAAAAAAGAATGAAAACTCATCGAAGAGGTCAACCTACAGAATCAAGATAATCACATATTACAAGCAATGCACAACCTGAAAAGAGTCAACTTAGTCATCCTCATTAAAGTGCCAACGTTACATTTGATGGTTCTAAGGTAAGTGAAGAAAAACCATTAACATAAATTGATGAAAATGAAGATGAATATGAAGAACAATAAGAACACGATTAATAAGATCTCAAAATTGGATTATTTAGAAAATACGTCTATTTCTTTAATAGATTTTCTTTGTTAAAAAAGCAATTCGTTATTGATGTAGATAAACTCAAAAAAAGAGGTAGAAGTGCGGAGAAAAATCAAGCAGAAGAATTGAAAGGTGAAAAATTAGACGATAATCATATCTGCATTCTCTTCATTTTGATCATATTAATGGCTTTGAATATATTATTTATCTACTTTTTAGATAATGGAGCATATACATAATAGCACATCAAAAAAATAGAAAACAGCTTAAACTTAAATAAATTTCTTGCTATCTCCTCAATTTCTGATCTCAAAGAATATTACACTAATCCATAAGGTCTCATGTATCAATTTACTTCTGATAATTCAGATTTTAAGACATCCTATGAAATAATCGGAGCCTTGAGATTTCGTCAATTAAGAACTCGATATACTTAATGTCCGAATCCCATAAGAACTGATAAAATCCCTTAAATTACTTGCAATTTTGAAACATATAATGACTAAACCTTCTTTACTGATTAAATTGGTGATGGTAAAAAACCCTGGATGCTTTTTACAGACTCTAAAAATGATAGGATTACCGAAGGATAATTTAGTGAATATGATTCAAGTGGATATATTTAGGATATCAGCGCATAAGATTTAACCCCTGTCTATTATATTCATAATATCATAGAAGGAATGTTTAATCATCCCTTCTATTTTCAAGAAACTCTAATTGCCTAAGTTATGACTATGACAGTTAGGAGTAAAAACGATGGAATGTTTGTGTTTATTGAATTCCTTGTAGAAGTCACTGGAATTGGTATTTATCCAAAATAACCCTCCATTACGCCATTTTCACCCAATATTTTTGGTAAAGGATCATCTTCACCTTATTCTATTTATGCTGAAATGCATTCTGAATCACCTGATAGTCCTAATAACAAAAATATTGGATACATTTTATATATGATTACAGTACTTAAAATTATTGTTGGAATCATTTATACTGTATTTTAATTGATCAAAATGAAGGACTCCCTTTCCTCAGGAATCAAATATTTTATATCTGTTGTTTTCCTTGTCAATTCCATGTCTTTGATACTCAACTTTTCAACTGCAGATTAAGCAATGTAGTTATTCAAATAAAACATTAATGTTTATGATCTTGTGTAAAAAACCTCTTATATTGACTTAGGGGAGGTTGCAGATAGTTATAAAAGTATCCTTGTTATGACTTCATTATGTATTTGTGCCCATTTAATCAGAATATACCTGATGTTTAATATCTTTAAAAGTTTAGAATAAGCCATTGAAGCTATTGAATCTTAATATTTGTAATTATTGTCCAGCTTCACATTACTTTTTCTTATTTTGTCTGGATTTGCTATTATTCTGACAAATTAAAAGGGACCATATTTTGTAAACTATAGCGTATTTGCTAGATCTTTGGCATAACTGATATTGATGCTTTGTAATAGTTCTAATATAGGGGAATTTTATGATACAGATGTAACATTTTCTATGCTTTTTATGATATTCTTTTACTTCATACTTTATCAATTTCTATTCGGAATTTTGGCGATCATCTACATCGACTCTTATAGACAAGTAGTTATTAGCTAAGGTTAACCTGAGTCAAAAATACTAAAAAAAAATAATCTAATGAATTGGCTCTTTAATTGGTTACCAAATAAAATATATTAAAAAAAAATACAGGAATGAATGTAATCATATAAATTTGTTGATATTCATAATAAATCATCTAATAAATTCAAATTCATAAAAGTTATTGCCATTTAATAATGTTCTTATAAATGTTATTGAATATCATTTAATACTTTTGAATTAACTTCTTCAAATTATTCCAATTTTGCCAAATCATAACCTAATGAGTGCTTAATATAAAATTTATAAAGCAATTCAACAATTTCCTTTTTTGATAAATCTTCAACATCAAATTTATAATCTTTAAGAATTTCCTATTTAATTTAATCTTAACTTGAAAAACAATTTTTAATCATTTTCATGACACTATCAAAAGATGCATTTGCTCTTATTCTATCTGGTTCTATTTAAGTTAAAAATTCATTATATGATTGTTTAGTAATTCCCCTTATTAAATAAGTATTTTAGAGTTTGTCTCCATAGTAATTTTAGAATTATTTCACAAAATTAGGTTAAAAATGAAATAAAATATACTATTATAAATATTCTAATCCTTCAAGATTATCACTTTATTCTTACATCTAACTTCCATTTTCGCCAAAGACATTCTCTTCAAATTTAATCTTATTTTTTAATAACTCTTCTAAATAAATAAGTAATTCTTTTTCACAAAGATATCTTTATTTATTAATTTTATTATAATTTTCAAGTTCATTAGCTTTCATTATTTAATTATTAATATCAATATGTTCATTTATGAATTAATCAAGAATATCATTTAATTATTTAAATTATCTTAAATCATTGATAGTTTTTACTTTTTTTATTTCTTCTATTATTTTAGTAAAGTTATTATCTTAATAGATTTCTAAAAATTGAATAATAATTTTTTATATTGCTTTTAAATCACTTCTAAATGATAAGTCTTGATTTTAAGGCTCAGAAACTATTAAATATTAAACGAAATAGATTTTATCAATTTAAATAATTGATTAATAAGTAGTAAATTTATTGGATTCTGGTTTTAATTGAATAAAAATATTGTTTGCATTCAATTAGGAATGTGTTAATTTTTTTTCAGCCATTTTAAATAAATGCTGAATAATAGCTTAGATAATTAAAATGACTTATCCTTTAAAGATAACTACATAATTTGATTTCTAAATTATTATTAAAAATATACTATTGCATCCATTAAATCATTTAAAGAAATGCAATCATTATAAGGAATTTTGTGTAAAATGAATTCATCTTCTTATTGTTTATCAACTAAATAAGGATTGTTTTCTAGAATATTAATTTATTCTAATTATCTATCATCGCATTTAACTCTTTGACAAATAAATTTATAATTCTACCATCCTTTCATTTTAATATTTTAATAATTAATTCTAATGTGAATTTGAGATATCTATATATATATACAGAACTTTTTAATATTGGTTTTATCGGAAATAGAGTCTTACACCGAATAACTTATTATATAATTCTATTGAAAAACAATCAAAGATATATAAGAATTATCTTTTCTTTTTTAATTAATAAGTATTTATATTTTGTTTCAATTTAATAATAATTTTTTTAATAGAAATATGCAAAATATAACAAAAGAGAGGTATCGTTAAATATAAAGAATGCAAAAAATACAAAAGTTCCAATATGAAAATGATAGTTTAAAGTATGGTATAGAGAATTGTGTTAATCTAAATGACCTTATTAAATTAGAAGTAATTATTTAATTTCTATGCATAGCAAAATAAAACCAAATGTTTTACTATTGGCTAATTATTTATCATTACAAACAACATCGTGGATTAATTATTAAAGGTTTATCAAATTTCTAATTTATCAAAACTTGAAATGGATTCAATTTATGTAAATAATGAAAATAATGAAATAACCTTTACTAATATACATGTTAACAAAGATTTGGTTTCTTATGAAGACAATCAAAACCAAATATTTGAAATTTCTTATTAATTTTTCTTAAAACATTAAGAGTTTTTGATAAGTTTAATTAATGAAGATAATAGAGTAGATTTAAGCAAGAAAATATAATACATAACTGAATTTTCAAATTAGGTGCTTGATACATTGAAAACAGCTAACTATCATAAGGAATTGAACTAGTTTGTATAAAAAAACATCAAAGACAAACAACTTATCCATGATAATTTTAAGGATGTTATTGAAATAGATTAATATATTAGATAACCTCAAGCTTTAAAAAAGGTTGAGATACCCTTACCTAATGTTTAATAGAATCCATAAATTTAACAAGAAAATCCATAAGTTAATAATAAAAAAATATAAGAATAATAGTAATAATAAAAGATTGGATATTAATTTTAATAATTTTAATAGCCATAGTATCAATAGCGTCAATACCAACCATAACAATTAGAATATGATTAAAGCTAAAAATTAGATATTGTATCAGAAGATTTAAATATTTAAGAATAAATTGATTAGTCTGGATACGAAGATAATCGATAAGGTTTAGTTTAATCCAAAATTAATCACCAATTTTATACTTTTATCTAGGGATAGTTAGAGAATTTATAGTTAGGAGAAGAACTTTATGATTTCATGCTTAATTTTTTTCTAACAAATTTCAAATATCTTTAACAAGATCAAATTGTAGCTAAAATAGAATTATTATAAGACTGCTATAATTTTCCATAAAATTAAGAGGAAAATTGTTAGTAAGATTTTATTAAACAGTGGTAAAATATAATTACTGATGGATTTATTACAAGCAAAACTATTGATTTGAATGAAGAGAATGATCAGGTCCTGTCTAAATTGACTTCACTATATAAGAATTTATACGAATCACAAATGTATTGAAAGATATAAGTTAATATTTTCATTTATAATCAATGATATAAATTAATTAAAGGTTATTATTAGAGAATTAATCTGTATTATATAATCATAATGAGATTGGCTATCTAATTAAGAAACATCGTCATCCTAAATATAATTATTTTTATTTTAATAATTTAATCGATTAAGGTTATTAATAGCTAAAAAAGTATTATATTTTATAATGAGCATTAAATTATTTTAAATGTAGACTAAAATTCTTTTTGGATAATTATTCTGAAATTATTTCAAGATTTCAGAATCTCTCTAACAAAGGTTAATCATTTTTAATCTTCAACATAGGCTTGGCATCATTACTAAAAATATCATAAACTTTATTAACAAATTGGACAATCTTAATTAAGTTTCTAAAATTAAAAGCTAATTGATGAAATTTTTATGATCAATATCATAGATTAATGTAACTTCTATACTCTGTTCGGAATTATTTCATATAATTTTAAAGAGAAGAAAAAAATTAAAAAAAATAGATTGAGAAATGAAATTAATTTTCTGTTGAGGAAAATAATAATAAGATTATAATTTAAATTTTTAATACATAAATTCTTTTATGGTGGGGATATGTTTTGATTATCTTCTAATATCTTAATTTGATTTATAAAGTAACAAATGTTTATCTCCTACCATAAGCAGATTCAAATTAGCAACCCATAATAAAAATTAGATCAATATCATGTAATATCTCAAACATTCAATATTAATAAAACTTATCAGAATAATTGAAGTTATTCACAATTCTATTTATAAATCTAGAATTATATCCTTTTACAATATACCGAATTTAAACTTTTCAACCATTTTTTTACAATAAAAAGTTATCTAAATCAGAAGATAATGAGTTATTCTTTATTTAGAATATTCCAATCATGATACCAAAACCTAGAATTATCAAATTAAAAGTTTTCTAATGATCTTTACTTTATGTTCTATTTCTATTCTACTTAATTCAGATTTCCTAGTTTATAAAATTGTGATTATATATTCTTCATAAACTTTAATTTAATTGACTTTTTGCAATTATTGACTCTGAATATTTGAAATATATTTCGCTTTGATATAAATTTTATTACTGAGCAATTATTAAAAGAATTGAGTTGTTTTAATTATTTATTTTCTTTAAATTAACTTCAAAATCATTCCAATGTATATCCTGCTTCCGCATCAACTTTACTAAAATTAGTATTTCATTTTAGAATTGTAAATATTTTGAACTATTAATTATGGTGTATATTTTTGAAAAATCTAAGTTAAAAATTATCAAATAATCCTCTTTGTGTAATGGTCAATTAATTAATTATTCAACGATAACTGCAGCTTCTTAAAATTGTCAAGATAGCAAGAAAAATATCTCCTTTTTTCTAGGTTTGGTTCATTATTTGTGATTTCAATTTTTTAAAATAGTCTATTCATCTTTTTAGAAATCGTTTCCAATCTTAGCAAATATAAAGAGATGTTTAGCATTCCTATAAATTAGGAAAAAATGTCTTTAATTCTTCATCGCAAATGATTTAATGAGATTTTTATAATAAATTGTAAAAAAACAAATAATATTTAGATGATTTTAACCAATAGGTCATATTTTACTGAATTTATAAAATAGAACTATTATCTATGATTGGCTAGAATATCAGGATTAAATTTTATTAAACTAATTAATGAATGATTAGAAAAATAGTTAAAATTAATATTATGAAAATATTATAATTTAATCTGCATGGTTCTAGATTTAGAGTTTTTACTACTTAATATAATTTAACTTTAGAAGGAATTTTTAAAATTAAAAATCAAAAGTTTATTCTTTAATATTCCAATCTCCACCTACAATGATTTTGTTATATTTGATTTGTAAGAAAAAATATTCAAACCAAAGCCTATTTCCTTGAATTTTAATGCTTATTGAATCATACACTTCAACTATATAATTGACTTCGATACAACAATGATAATATATATACATTATGAATTATAATCTATAGTATATATAGTATATGCATAATAATTTTTGATAATTACTAATATTCTATATTTTGAGCTATCATTCCTATGAATATAATCAAGAATTGAAATATATTTATTAATGGAGAGATAACAATATAAAAAGAGTTATTAAATTTATTTAATAAAAGAAATTTAGATGAGTAAAAGTTATCAAACACAATTAAATCTTCTTTATATTAAAGTAGAATAGACGAAATGTCATTTTAAATCTAAATTGTTTGTTTCAAGAATCAAAAAATTAAGAAATTCCATCAAATATGACAAGTTAATAAAGAGAGAATTTATTATTTGCATAAATATATAAATGATCTTCTCACTTCTAACACTTGATCGGCATATCCTATAATTAAATATTATACAGTAAATTAAAAAGTGATATAAATCATTTGAATCTAAATAATGAATATCCAATAGCTATGAGAACTAAACAAATTAGGAAATAATTTAAAGAAATCAATTTAAATTTAACAGTCATTCTTGATAAACTAATTCTATTATAATAAATTGTTATTAATTAATATAATATTAAAATGAAAGGATGGTAGAATTATAAATTTATTTGTCAAAGAGTTAAATGCGATGATAGATAATTAGAATAAATTAATATTCTAGAAAATAATCCTTATTTAGTTGACAAACAATAAGAAGATGAATTCATTTTACACAAAATTCCTTATAATGAATGCATTTCTTTAAATGATTTAATGGATGCAATAGTATATTTTTAATAATAATTTAGAAATCAAATTATGTAGTTATCTTTAAAGGATAAGTCATTTTAATTATCTAAGCTATTATCCAGCATTTATTTAAAATGGCTGAAAAAAAATTAAACCATTCCTAATTGAATGCAAACAATATTTTTATTCAATTAAAACCAGAATCCAATAAATTTACTACTTATTAATCAATTATTTAAATTGATAAAATCTATTTCGTTTAATATTTAATAGTTTCTAATCCTTAAAATCAAGAATTATCATTTACACAGGATGGAAAAGACATTAAAAAAATTATTATTAAATTTTTAGAAGTCTATTAAGATAATAACTTTACTAAAATAATAGAAGAAATAAAAAATATTAGAGATATCAATGATTTAAAATAATTTAAATAATTAAATGATCTGCTTGATTTATTCATAAATGAACATATTGATATTAATAATTAAATAATGAAAGCTAATGAACTTGAAAATTATAATAAAATTAATAAATAAAGATATCTTTGTGAAAAAGAATTACTTATTTATTTAGAAGAGGTATTAAAACATAAGATTAAATTTGAAGACAATGTCTGCATTGAAAATGGAAGTTAAATGTAAGAATAAAGTGATAATCTTGAAGGATTAGAATATTTATAATAGTATATTTTATTTCATTTTTAACCTAATTTTGTGAAATAATTCTAAAATTACTATGGAGACAAACTCTAAAATACTTATTTAATAAGGGGAATTACTAAACAATCATATAATGAATTTTTAACTTAAATAGAACCAGATAGAATAAGAGCAAATGCATCTTTTGATAGTGTCATGAAAATGATTAAAAATTGTTTTTCAAGTTAAGATTAAATTAAATAGGAAATTCTTAAAGATTATAAATTTGATGTTGAAGATTTATCAAAAAAGGAAATTGTTGAATTGCTTTATAAATTTTATATTAAGCACTCATTAGGTTATGATTTGGCAAAATTGGAATAATTTGAAGAAGTTAATTCAAAAGTATTAAATGATATTCAATAACATTTATAAGAACATTATGATATGGGAAGAACCTATAAAATCCTTGAATTAATAAACGAATTAATATGAATAACAATATATGTTATTGAAAAATTACAAATTATTATCTAAAATTATTGTTTTATAATATTTCATTTTTTTTCCTCTGGTTCAATTAGTATTTTGTTTTATGATCTACCAAGTGGTTAAATTTAAGGAGGTTTTAGCTAGAAATAAATAGTTATGTTACTGAAATAATCTTGATGTGGTTATCTTGATCATGAAACTCCTTCTTTACAATTTCTTCAAATAACATTTTCAAGGAGATCAATCCTATAATTTTTTTTTACATTTTCTCATCAGCAGTTTAATAATTAGGAATTCTTGAAGTATTAGTTTATTCAATTTTATTAGCCTCAACTACAAAAGCTATTTTAGTTTTTTTTTATTTAAAAATCATTAACATCTCGAATAAAGAAGTATCATTTTAAATAAATAGAACAGGTCTAACAAGATTATCTAATTCAGATATCTTTCTCTTAGTTAATTCCATATCAATTAATTATTTCGATCTAATAGTGCCGATAATATTTTCCTTCTAATTTTCATAGATGGTAACATAAGAATAACCAGAGGAAGCTATTCTTGCTAAAGTTTCTCTATTAAGTTCATTATTTTTGTTAACAGAGTAAACATCTTTAATCGGGATCATGGCTTATTCAACAGTTTTATCCCTCAAATCAATAGTGGAGGTTATCATATTAATTTCTGCTTAAGTGAATCCTTATTCTTCACTTGCGTGACCACCTCCAGTAGCATGTTTTTGTATTCCATGTAACTCTATTAGAGCTTTTAGTTCATTCTTTTAAAATCTAGTAGACCCATGCTCTCCAAAATAGGAATCTAATATTTTAGCCAAAGGGTAGCTGATAGGCCAGAATAAAATCATTAAAATTTTAACTAAGGGAGTTAGTTTTTCAGCAATAATTAATTATTTTGGACCAGTACATAGAGCTTAAGGAATGATTTCTCCAGCAAAGATTATAAAGATGACTGATATTAATACTGCAAAAGCTGGAGGAACTACTTTATCAAAAAATATAGGAAGCGATTCCATACAGAATGCATTCCCTATGAGTAATGTGCAAAGAAGCATATGATGCTATTTTATAATTGGCAAAATAATATTTGCTTACCTTTATTATTCAAGTGTGCCTTATTCTTTATATATTTCTAATTATAATTCATCTACTGATAAATAACCAACAGTCATCCCAGAGCAGATGGCTGCCAAACAGATTAGAGCTAATATTTTGAGATATATTTAAACTTGCAGCTATAAATAAACAAATCCAGAACTCAATCTCTGATGGGGAGTATGTTCTTTTTATATTTTTGTGTTCATCCTCGCTTTTTTCTTCAGGTTGATCATTAGATGCCTCATCTTCTGACAAAAATCTTCTTTTCTGAATTACATTTTCAACATTGTGAAATATCGTAAATATTAGCAAGGTTATTGATATTGAACTAATTAGAAATTTTTTTTTATCAAACATTAATTAATGAAAAATCAATTAAGTGAATAAAAATGAGTCTTAGGTTGTTACAAAATGATATAGGTAAATTCTTAATGAAAATATAACATTTACTCAAATTTCCCTAAAGACTTATCCTTTATTAACTATTTAAAATGCTTAAAAATCTTATCGTATGGGTTTAACAACACATTCGCAACTAATTATGAAATCAAATTCTATTGATATTAATCAATCGAGTATCTTGCATCAAATCAGACCCATCATCATTATAATTGATATTATTTGATTAATTATAAAATAACAATAAAATAATTCTAATAAAATTAAACTAAAAAACAAAAAAAAAGTTTATTCATTTTTTTTTACTTTCATTTTATTGAATAGTTTGCTATTGTATTTGTTATTTTTAAGAGAGAGGGTTTTGTAGTTCTTTAGTTAAATCAAAATCAGCTGGTATTTCACTTTACCCATAGTTAATAGAACTAAACATTTCAAAACGATTCATTGACTTTTCTGACCAATCTTAGATTGAATAGGTATCGTTTTATTTTGTTTCATATCCTTATGGCTATAATATCTATAAACCTAAAATTTCATCTATAAACTTTAAATTCTCCTTAATTTCCTAATGAGAATCTTCAATAAGTTGAAGAGACTTTTATCTGAGCTAAGAATCTCCAGCTTTTCCCAACCAACTATTAGAGAAACTAGATTAATGAAGTGACAATCCCAAATTACATTAGTAAACTTCGCTAAGATTACGATCGAATTATTAATTATTGCTATCTTAAATATAGGTTGGAGGAGGTAGGAATCTAAGATCCCTCTCATAAATTAGATATTGGTTTCCCTTTTGGCATACTATAATTAAGATATTCTCTGCGTAATTTTACAAAAACTAAAAGAAACTCTAACATTAAAATTTTTTAAAATTAAACCATTCACCTAACAATTGAGATAAATCGTAGTATAATTCATTAATACTTATCCCATATTTATGTTAACTTAATATGTTCTTTAGCAATTCTAGAATATTAGAACTAATTGCCTAATTACTCAAATCACCTCCTATTTTGTCTAAGATCAATTTTTATTATGTACTTTAATACTAATTCCAGTATTTTATTCGATCCAGCTTAACAATAACATTATTTCTGCCATTTTTTTCTATTGATATCTCTTCCTTTATTGATTCTATAAAGTTTCTTAATTTTGGGAATCCAAGGTCAATTAAATTTATTTTGAAATTTACTCGTTTCTTTAATAATTTAGGTATTTAAGTAAAAGATACACTCTTAATTAAAAATGATTACATACCCATCTTGACTTTCTAACAATAGTTGAATAAGTTGTTCCTTAAGTTCCTCGATTTTCATTTTGATATTGTTATCCCTATCTTAAGAATCGTCAGTTGCATATTCTGATTTCTCTCTGTTATATTAAACCTTTTTCGTGTTCCTAATATAGTGTTTATTAATAGCCATATGTGTGTATAATTTTAATCTGGCTAAGGATAACTCTCTTAAATTCTTTGGGCCAAAGAGCTTTATGAATTAAGCGCATCCATATCCACCATCTTTAAAGAATTAATAATCATTCTAATCGTCAATTATGCTTTACAAGTATTCAATAAAAATATTCCATTCTTATTTTTAATATAAATCTTCTTAAAACTCATCTTCGGGATTCCAATTTTAATTTTAAATATAGATTCCTTATGTTTCTTCTTAAATAAAAGGATCTTTAATTTAAATCACTTATATCATTGGTAATTCAACTTGCTTCCCTTATGAGGATCTAAACTAAATAACTTACTTTTCTGATTTAATTTAATTAATAATAAGATTCCATTCTTTTCTTTTGTATTTTAATCCATAGCATTCTTTGATTCTACTTTAAACCGAACTTTCAGTTGGAGTGATTAAATCCTTTTTTAATGATTTAATAATCCAAAATAAATTTTCGAAAGTTAGGGTTTTTACTGCTAATGCATAGAAATTAAGTATAGACCCGTTAAAAATTCTTATTGTTTTAAAAATCCATCCTTTATCTAAGATTTAACTTAAAAATTCCAGTAAATTTTTACTATTTTTATTTTTAATCAAATACACATATATTTAGCTCTGATTGATCAAAACTTCAATTTATTCAATTGTATAAGTTATTGTACCAGCATAACATTAACATTTCAATATTGAAAGGAAATTATAAACTTCAGATGGTAGAGTATTATCTAATGTTTCCCATTCAAGAATTTCATAAGCTAAAAATTTAAACTAAATCAAAAATTCAATTACTTTATTGCTGCTTAAAGTGAATGAGTTTGAATTACATGATTCTTTAGTTGATAGAGTATGTTCAGCTTTACAATTTATTAATGTTTTTAAGTTTTCTCTAGATGATTCGCTATCTAAATGAATACTTTCATCAAGAAAGGAGTCATCTATAATATTTTATCTTTGGTTTACTTAATCTCCTTGAGATTAAGTCTTCTTCTATAAATATTACATTTATATTATAATTTTATTAAATCTCTAACCTAATATATATAATATAAATTGAGGTATAAATATTTAGAGGTGATACCAACTCTTTCTTTTTGACTATTTAAAAAAATGAAATGATATAAGAAACAACTTTAAAAATATTCAAGAAATTTAGCATAGTTATAGATTGTAAGTCTTTATAATAATCAATAAAATTAAACTAATTCATCAAAGCGTTATGATTAATTCCATGGTTATTGAACAGATTATTAAATGAATGGTGTCAAAATAGATTATTGGATTGGTTGTTGAATTTATTATTAAGTAAATCCATATTATGGGAATTATTACTATTAATATTGAATTCTGGATGGTGCATTAGAAATAGCTTGATTTTTTAGTACAGTTTCATATTTTTACAACTATCTAATAAATCCAACATTTGGATGCACTTATCTTCTTTTAGCCTTCACATTCCAAAGTGCTTTTTCGAACGATAAATTATATTTTTTCATTAGGTAGGCTGTAACCATGGATGCTGATCTGCTTATACCTGCAAAACAATGCACAAAAACATTTGTGTATTTCCTATGTCTGTCAATAAATTCATAAGCCTATTCAAAGTGCTAAATGATATCGTAATCTGCTTTATCATGAGCCATAATAATTTCGTGAAAATGAACAACATGCTCTTAGTATTTTACTGCAGTCTCCTGACTTGCTGTAAGAACTGCTCGAATCTTCAACCTTCTTAATAGATCTACATTGTTTGCTGCTTCCAAATTACCTAAATATAAGCCACCTTCCTCTTCGCCTAAAATTCTCAATTGATTTATATACTTGGCTCTATTATACAAGTTATTGGTTCAGGATCAACTATTTTAGGCACTGATGGAACATATTTAACGCAATTATTTTCAAACATTATTTAACTGATAATTTAATTTAATATAATAATCTTAATCCTTTTGCATTAATTTTTGGATATAGACTGCATAGAGTGCATCATTCACAATTAATTCAGAAATTATAAGATTATAAAAGGTAATATGATTAAAATTATACCTATTCTGTAGATCTTTATATATGTGCTAAACAACCCAGAATACCATTAATGTGGATTTAATTCTTTGTCTAGACATGCAGTTCTGCATTTCCAGAAGATTTTGATTTAATAATTGTTATTGAATTGTTCTGATTGACATGATTAGAAGAACATTAATTCAGGAATTTTTAAGCAAAGAAGAGAAAATGGATAAGAATACATTTAGAATTAAGAAAAGAACCAATTTGAAATTGTTTGATAGAAAAATTTTAATAATAAAATATTTAATGATATGATTACTTTGAAACCAAAACTATTCAATCATTTAAGCGAAATCTTAAAATTATTGATATTATAAAAAAGATTTAATATATATTTAATTTTTAATTTTTTGTTTTAATGCAGGACACTTAACTATCAGAAGTAATCACATAACTTGATTGTATAAAAAAGAAAATTCACAAAATTAAGACTCATAATGAAAAATTTCAAAACAACATAAAATTGTGTCCATTTCCTCCAGGATTCCATAATTCATCTCAAAATCTGAGTCCCATTAAGCTTCAGATACCTATTGCTTCATCAAATAGCAAAGACACAATTTTGGAGGAACTAATCTTATGGGACTTTGAGGATGATTATTCAGATGAATAATTATTCAGAAATCTCTTTACTATAGTAACAGATCTATTAGAAGAAAAATACCCTACCAAAGTTGGAAAACTTAGCGCTTCGGAAGCACAAAGTAAATATCTTAGTAATTAAATTAGAAATTGTTGATGACTGCCTATCCTAGATCAAATAAGCAATTGAAGATCATAAAAAATTGAAATATGTATCAGATATATTGGTCTTTGAATCGTATATTGATAAAAACGATTCAATGATCAATTTATAGATATCAACATCTAAATTCATTGAAACTATCTAATGGGATTTAGACAATGCTCCTTAATAGTACTTATCTTATTCTACCAAATAGTATTGATGAATTTGTATATACTTATTGTTATGAAAATAAATTAGGTTAGGAAAATATTGTTTCAATTGGAAATTAAATTAGAGAACAAATATAAAAAGCATTCGAAAAAAGGTATAATTTATTATCAAAATTCATTTTGGAGGATCGATAAGGTATGATAAATATTAATATTATTGCAGATTTTAAATAGAAATTGTTTTCACTCTTAGATTATCCTTCTTTTGAACCGTATCAACCAATAAAAGAAACACCTTAGAATAATGAACTGAATTCATTCTTTAAAAAAAACCTTGAATTGTTGCCTCCTGAATTACAATTACTATATGGTCAAAGGCCAATAATTAAATAAATGTAATATCTTAATTAAAAATTGTAGGAATGACATGTATGTAGATTAAGAAGACACAAAAAGGTTTGAAAAAGAACTTAATTAGAAATCTAAATACTTTGATAATGTTATAGTTTAGGACTTGCTCAATAGAACTAAATAAAGTTGATGTAGATGTTAGTAATTTTATGTTTATTAATTAACCAATTTAATTACACTATAATATAACCACAAAGAATTTAAATATGAAATGTCATAAACATTAAATAATTCTTCAAATAAATTTATTAATATATCACAAATCCTACTATCCTCTCATTTATATGTAATTAAGAGCTTTCAAAAATAGTGCCTGATAATCAACAGAGTTAGAAAATAAATATATAGTCAATGCCACCATTAGAAATCCATTTAATATCTTTTATCTTATAGAATTTTGAGTATTAAGGAATTCCTTATGTTCTAAAACTATTTCTTAAATAGTTCTTTAATCCAAAAGTTCAAGTAATTAATTTCTTTTTATTTGCTAATTTTTAATTTCTGCTAGTATGCATGATATGATCAGGGTGACAACTATTCTATAAATATTCAAAAATTCAAATAAGGCTAATGAAGCAAAGAAATGAGAATTTTAAAAATATTATGGTTATTCCATTAGGAAAAAATCCCCATATCCTAAACCCAGAACTAAAATTGTTAATAATTTTTATTGACTCTTCTGATCTTGACTATTGACGAGCTGTATCAAAAATAAAATCATGTAAAAGAATAATCTTGTTAATTTTATTCGATATATTATTGCAGGCAATGGATTAATATTGCTCTCTACTACAACCCCAAATTGATCATATTCTAAAATACAATTAATCTATACATTATCTTGGCTCATCTTATTTTAGTATTTCATTGATATTTTTCAAGTAATTAAATTATTCTGATGTTATTTGTGTATTACGATCAGGATGATAATCAAGCATAATTCTCTTGTACGCCTATCTTAATTGACTCTAATCGAATTTCCTTGTTATCTAATTTAATCTAGATTATATTACTTTATATTCCTCATAAAAGTTGGTTGGTTTGTATGTTAGATAGATGTATATTTCAAGAACTCCTATTAATATGTATAAAATCTTTGAGATGGATCCTTTGAACTATCCCAATATTGGACTTAAAAATGCCACATTGAAGAAAACTACCCCAATTTAGCTTAATAGCATTGATAAATTTATATAAAATAATATTGTATAAATGTAAACTATATATATATTATTTTTCATTAACTACACGTATGTTAAAAAGTCAAATAAGTAATAAATAATTTGAGATTCATTTTACATTGAATAATAATAATGTTAATTTTATTGATAATAACAAGATTAATACCTTATTATAAGTGTGAATCCATTCTCTTTAACAACAGTTATATTACAGAAATTAATGATCTGAATTTTACTTTAAAACAAGAAAATCTCTATCTAATATAGGTATGAATCAAATTTTTATGTGACAAGTTATAAATTACAAAGTTCCCTAAAGATCAAAGATATTCTTTATAATTAATTGTGAAAAGCAAAAAGAATGAAAAAAACTTAACAAATGTTGATGCCGATGCATTTCATTAGAAACTTGAATTCTAAAATATTTATATCACTTAAACAGATAAAATTGCTATTAATGTTGTATACGAAAAAATATGTGATTATTAAGTAGAAGATATTCAACAATTCAATTACTCATTATCTTTGATTGAATCACCTTAAAAGCAAGTTTAATGTAAGTTCCCTTTTTACTTTACTAATTGTTCACAACAACTAAGATCTGAGGAAATACCAAATACACAAATTACAATAGCCTAGAATAAATGGATATATTTTTATGTATAGAATTGAATAGAATGAATACTAGGTAATGTTTTCCCTTTGAAATAGTTATTTATAGTAAATGGCAAATCAGATGTTGGTGTTTCATTGATCCCTTCTAATATTTCTCGCTTAACGTAATTGCCATCGTTTAATTCCTATTTCAGTTTGATACCTCAAGAATACACATATTAGGCTACAATAAAAAAGTAAAGTGATGAAATTGAATCGGTTGTAATAATCGGGTTATATAATTTTAATCAAACATCTGAGGCAGAAATATAGTTATCTCTAAATGAAATTATTGGTTCTGATAATATCTTCCCTATTTGGGGAATCCTAGTCATAATAGCAGTAATAGTTTTGGCAATATTGAGCATAATTTACTTGACAGTTTAATTTAGGAAATAATTAAAAGTACTTTCTTTAGAAACCCCTGAAATTGGTTTAGAGATATTAAATAAATATATGCCAATTAAAAAGGTACAAGCCTCAATGTTGAATGAATTTTGTTGCATCTGTTTAGCAAATTATGAAGAAAGTGATACTATAAGAGAAACCCCTTGCAATCATATTTTTCATGATAAATGTATAATCGAATGGTAAGAATCAAATTAATTCAGGTTTAAGAAGAGCAAAAGTTGCCCAAATTGCCGTTTGGAATTTACAGAAGAAGAGTTCTCAAGATTAATGTTGCAAAAACAAACAGATTCAAGTCCTGAGAATAAAAAGCATTAAAATTCTACTTTTATATAAAGAGTTACAAGTATAAAATTAATACAAAATACAAATCCATAACAAAGAAGAAATCTTGAGGATTCTACTTCTTAATTAAATCAAGTAGAAGAAATTCCCCAACAAACTTATGTTTAACCCTTCAACATTTTTGATTAAGCTGAATAAAATTGAAACTATAATATATATTTTTTAGATAATTTAATTATGTAATAAATATAATGAATACAATTGAATTTCATAATTTAGGGGAAGCTTTTGAATTGATGTAAACGGGTTAAATATTTTAAATAATATATTAGGTAAGAAGGAATTCTTTTCTGGATTTGATATAGTGGCTAAGACTGCTGCTTATGAAAAAATGAAATTTGGTTATGAATAAATTATCCATTTTTAGTAAGTACTAAAAGATAAGGTTTGTAATTCTGAATTAAATTTGGAAATTGAAGAATATAAAAATTAACTAATTAAATTCAAGGAACTTTTATAAATAAATAATTTAGAAAAGTATTAGTATATCTGCAATCCTTATTAACAGTATTTATTAAATGTTATTGCAAGATTAGGTTTAGAAATGGATTTCATTTAAGTAAAAGACAAACCTAATGTTGGAGAAAATAAAATATTATAATTAGAGTCAATTAAAGGTATGATGAAAGAAATAGCTTTACCTTTTAAATTTCCTCAATTTTTTTAAAATTGTCATTATTATTATGATAAGATATTTCTATATGGAGTATTTCATTCATATTATTAAAGGCACCTAATTCTGGTAAAAAATACTTAATAGAATACAGTGCTTCAATTGCAAATGCCAAAATTATAAGTTTATCAATTTCATAATTAATTAAAAACTAGTTTAACCAACCTGAAGAATGCATTAAATAAATTTTTGATTTTGCTAGAAGCATGTAGCCATCAATTCTGTTAATTTATGATCTTGAGTAAATAGGAAATTAGAGTTTAAATAGTAATCGATCCAAATTAAATATCTTTGTTGAATTGTTAATAGAGTTAGATAAATAAAGACAATCAGACAGTTTCACATTTTTAATCATAGGAATTTCAAGTTACCCATGGAATGTAAATCCTCGAGTCCTAAGAAGGTAGAATATTTTCATACAATTTTAGATTTAGTAAAAGAATGTATATACCTTTACCGAATCATCTTCAAATTTTGGATTTATTAAATGAAAAGCTATCAAATTTGAAACATAAGCTTACTTTGGAATAATTAGATTAATTAACCAACAAATTTCAAGGTTACACATGTTGTGATATTTCTAATATTCTATAGATGGCTTATGATTAAGCTGGGAATATCAATAAATAGAATATATAAATAAAATCAGAATGTTCAGAAAACATTATTGAATATGTAAGAATAAATTAGAAATTAGGGCGACATTCTTAATGTAGTTAGAAAGTACAAGAAATTAACCTCTTAAGATTATATCAACAAATTAGAAGAATGGAAAGCAAATTTTGATGACTGAAGATTAAATTGATACTACTTATGTTCATAATATGTATCAATCTGAATATATACAATTTAAATTTAATATTAATATTAAGCACTTACTTAATCTAATTAGTGGGGAGATGATATCGTTATTAAAAATATAAATAATAATTAATTTGCTAAAGTGCCATCATTTCAAGAATCCTTCACATATTTGAAGAATAATAGTTATGACTTCATTTTCAATCTCTTAAGAATTTTTCATTCAAAAATTAAAAATTTGAGACTTTCAGTTTAAGAAATGAGATCATTTACTTTCTAATTTTTAGTATTTGTTCTGTAGAATCGAAGGTCAAATAATATTTACTGATACAAATGAGAACATAAAACTTATAATATAATCTATTCTTTATTAAATGCATAAATAGAGATACAATGATAAATCATATCAATAATAGAAGGTTAAAATTTAATTATGAAGATTATTGATTTTAAATAATAAATTATTAATACTAATAGAAAATAATGTTTAAAGTTTTGGAAAGTAAAATTTAAATGAATAACTCACTCTATTTCACTCTATTTGTCCAGTTGCTTCGTCTTAGAATTCTAATCTTGACTTAAGCTTAAGAATTTCTTCAAACTTATCTTTGCGAACATGTTATCGAATAGTCTAAAGATAAAATTTGATTTTAGTATTTTTCGTCAAAGTTGAATACCAGATCTCTTTGGTTTAAGGATTTATGTTCTTTTTACATTCATGAATATAGATTATTTCACCTTTCTAAAATTTTTCTATTTTCTCTGTGGCAAAGTCATTTTTTAAGAATATTTGCACTACAGTATTCCCATCTCCCAACAAAACTTCGATAAATCTAAAGGGAAATTATCTCGAAAATTGATCCAAATGGCCTACATCTTAAATTATTCCTAATATATTTGAATAAGGGTCCCTCATTCGTTCAACTTTCAATTCCTCTTTTTCAAGCTTTGTGATCCTTCTATATTTGGAATAACAATTTAGAATTGGCCGTAAAATTTTGTGTACAATTTTATAATTTGTAAAGCAATACCATTTACCCTTCCTTAGAGTTCGCTATCCTGCGCCTTTAACCCAATAAAATTTCACAAAATTTGCATCTCGAGCAACTTATCGTAATTCATATATTCTTTCCTTTCTATCATGACTTTCCCATATTATTTTATTGCATCCCAAGTTTAATTGTATTTGTTCTGTCATTAAATAATTATACTTTAATTAATATAAGCTTTTACGGAATATAAATTTATATTTATTCACTTTTTTTCAGGTTTAGAAATTCATAGAATTTTAATTTAATATGGAATGATAATATTGTGGTTATTTAAAATATATATTCATTTGACAATAACTGTTAATTAATTAATGTTAAATCGTATTATTTCTAAGTCAATTAATTATAATTATAATTAAATAAAATTATGAATTCTATTAAAAAACAAAGAAAGGGAAGTCAATACAATAAGAATCTTACAAAGGAAGAGAAAAGTGTAATAATGAGTTAATTAAACAAAAAAAGCAAAAAAATCTCTGAAATTGCAAAAGAATATAATTTGCCTAGATCAACAGTGTTTTCATACTCAAAATCTAAAGAACCCATCTATAGCCAATTTTTATCTGCTGTTTTAACAAGAGCATAAGAATGGGTTGACAAGAATTTTGAGATTTTAAATAGTTTAAAAAATGAACTTCAAGTGAAAAAATATATTACAAATTATTTGTAGAATGAAAGGGTGTTTGAGAATTCCTCAGTTAATCCTTTACATCATTTAATTCCTTAAACTAAATTGGAATCTAAAAAGTAAAGAATCTTTTAGAAGGTAGTAAAAGAGATCTTAGAGATTTTTAAAAATAAAAATGTTGTAAAAAAAGATGAATCCAAGGAATAATACTATGAGAAGGACTATTTTAATGAATAAAATATTTTTGAAGAATCTATTTTTATAAGTTCTCAAGAGGAATTTCACTAAAACATTTAAACCTAATGTCAAGATAAAACTGAAGTTGTAGAGCAATATGAGCCATTTAAAGCATTTGACTACGATAGCTAAAGTTAATATTTCTATTGAGATAATCTAATGATTTTCATGTATATATTTTATGAGTATTACAATAATTCTAATATAATTCAGTTTTTAAATTTTGTAAATTATATATTTTGGTTATAAAAATATAATGAGTGAAGAGGAATAATAATTATAATCTGGAAGCGGAATAAAATTAGAAGCAGCTATAAAACATAGAAGAAAGAAGGAGGAGATAGAGAAGGATTTCATATGCGGAGATCCAAATTGTGGCAGAAAGTATGGGACAAATGCTGCTTTGTATACTCACATAAAAAATAAACATAATGGAGTTCCACCTGTAATAAATTTGGATTTTATTTAGATAGACTGGAACTGTTAAGCCATCAACTTCAAAAAAGACAAAGGAATAAACTCCTATGATGGACCAAATGGATGATGAATTAAGCAAATCAGTAGCTACAATGAATGACCCTGATTTTATGAAGTTCACAATAATGATTAGCAATTTGGGTCATTTCAATGACAAGAACATTATCGTTAGAGATGCGCAAGAGCCTTGTTTTTAATTGGAGGAAGAAAAGTTATTGGATATATACGAAAAAGTATTATAAAAATAAAGATGTTAGATTTTGAAAGGAAGTAGATTGATTTCGGAAACTAAAGGGAATTCTGTTTTTACTAAAAAAGCAGAGATGTATTTGAAATTTTCTTCTCCTATTTGGAAAAAGCATATAATAAATGAATTATATACTATTTTGATATATGCTTATATTTTTAAAGGAGAAAATTTTGATAGTAAAAATGATGGTTAAGTTTAGCTATTGAAAAAGATATTTCTAGTAACTTGACTAGTTATAAATTGTTTTCGGAACTTATTAAGTAAGACAAGGTGGATTAATTTAGAGAAGTTTACACTACAATCTGGAATTTCATCGTTTGAATAAAATTGTATAAATATAAAAATTATTACAAAATATCAGTTATGAATCAAAGGAAGCCATAATCAAAACAAGAAGCAAGGGCAAAAGTGGATTCTGGATTAAACAAACCTCGTAAATAGGATTAGATACAAAAAAGACCAGAATCAGCTGTTCAATCATAATCGGTATTATCAAAGTAACAGTTAGGGAGAAAAGTATTAAGAAAGCGAATAAAATTTTATATACCAAAACAACATAAGTGATAAAATGAGCACCATAGTTTAAGATTACTTGCTAAAATAGAACTATTTAAAGACTTTGGAGCAGTTTGAAAATGAATCCTAATACAATCATTAGAGAGTTGGGAATTAATAAGAATATTAAATGCTTTAATATTTCGATAAGGGAGACAGAGATAGTTTCTTGAAATTATGGAATTAGCATCTGCCCTAAAACAACAAATAAGATTATGACTTGTGGAAATTAGAGTTTTATATTTAAATCTATTTCCTAATTTATCCGATTCATCCATACTTATCAAAGAAAGGGCAAATAGACAAATAGTCAATCAATGCATTCAAACAATTTCTAGATTCAAAAGGTATTAATTGATTTCTAAATATTTTAGGCGAGGACTTATCAAAAACAAATGAAGTGCTTCCATTTTATGCATTACCATACGTGCAATAACCTTAAAAACATTAAACATTTCAACATTTATTCACAACTTAATGGGTTGAAGACTTAAAAGACCGTTTAAAAGATTTCACATCTTAAATATTTTAAAATGAATAAATCACTCATTTATAGAAATTAGTCTAACATTATGAAAACCAATATTAGCAAAATTAATATTAACAAATTTAACATAACAATTATTAATAATAGGATCATTAAAAAGAGATTAAAAGATTAAATGATTAAATTTAAAAATTGCAAAGTGATAATACTGAAATCAAATAGAAGTTAAATCAATAAGTTTAAGCATATCAAGAGTTGAATAATCATGCTGAGAAAAATTTCACTGAAGCATAATAAAAATGGTTTTCTCTTTGTAAAGAATTAATGGTAGTATCAAAGGATTTATAAAAATATGTTGATACCAATTAATCTATACAAAACCAATAGAAGATTCAAAATTTAAAAAAGAAGCTTCTCTAGTATGAAAAATTCCTCAATCAAGATTTTGAAGATTTGGTGAATAAATCATAAGACATTTCTCTATTCGAAAAAGCCAGCATGGCTGAATAAGAAATATCAAATATAGCTCATAATTAATGTAATATCATTATCTAAAATAGAATTACCAACCCCTATTAAATCAAATTAAATTGAAGAATATGTACCATTGAATTATCCCAAAATAATTCAGCTATTTACAAAATCTAACAATTTTTAACATGTGGCAAATGTGTTGTAAGCTTTGAGATGGAGAATAACTAGAGCTAAAAATGCTCTCTTAAGAAGATAAGTGGTTGTGGCTTATGCAACTCATGATATCATAGGAACACACTCCAAAAATATATTGTTAGCTTAATATTTAATTTTAAAATCTCACCCTTTAGTTTAATGTTAAACCTTAAAACTATTAAATGCTTTAGCATCAGATTATCATGGACGATCATATTTAACTGTCAATCCAACACTTATTAAGTTTTTAGTCGATCTAATTAAAAAAGAACAATCAGATAGTCTAATTAGAAAGAATGCTATTGGTGCCCTTTAAAAAATGTCATTGAGAAAACAAAGTTAAACCTTCATGCTTGAAAACAACATCATTTATCATACATTGATAATTCTTAAAAATGTAAAAAGTTCACATTATTTTAGGAACAAAATAACCTCAGTGAATATACTTATGAATATATTACTGCATTGATTATGAATCTATCCTTAAGTTCTAGAGGGAAAGATGAGCTAACTTAGCATAAAGAATTAGCTTTTGAAGTTCTATACGAACTTATTGATTATCCTAATGATCAAATTAGAACCTTTACTAATGGAACATTTTATTCATTGTTCAGTAGAAAGATTATTAGAGATTATGCTTACAGTCTACAAATTCCATAAGAATTACCAAGGCTTTTGGAAAATTCAGATGAAAAATTCAAGAAACAAATTCAATATATGATTGCCTAGTTACAAGCTGATGAGGATGATTATGACTAATCTCAAATGGAAGAGGAAAATGATGTTGATGATCTCGAAGATGAAGAAGAAGAGTGTATAGGAGATGACGATGAAGAAGATGATCTGAATAATTAAGATAATATAGTTGGAGAAGAATTGTTATAAAAAGACTTTGAATTAGTTGGAGATGAGGCAGAAAATCAAAAATTAGTCATGGATTCTATCATTTTAAAAGAAGTTCAGTAGATAAGAGAGTCTTAATTAGAAAGAATGCCAGTCGGATGTAAACTATAAATATTTATTATTAGAAATCCCCTTCTATAATGACACAAATGATAAAAAATATAATCAAAAAGCTCAATAACATCACAATCAATAAAAGCAATCAATTTAAGGACAAGGACAATAAAACATTAATTATAATGATATTCAAGAATTTGTTTCAAAACCTAAAATTCCTAGAACCCCTCCAGGAGGATTGAAAAAATGATATTACATAAATATACTTACAGATCAAATTATTTTCATTGTTATTATTGTTTCTCTAAATTAGTATATTATATTAAAAGTAAATAATAAAATCATTTCAATTCAAATATTTCTATCATCTCAATATTCCAATTTGTTCCTCTACCTGCTAGAATACATTCATTATCAAGTTCTGAATAAATATCATATGAATAACCTAGGTTAGAAGAAGAATTTTTGATATTTTCAAAATCTATCAACAAATCTTTGCAATCCTTACCAAATCCAATCTTAGAGTGATTTAGAAACAAAGAATACCTAGTACATTCTTCTTTTGGATAAAATTTCATAGGCTAAAAAATTTTAAACAATTAATACTGGAATTCTATAAACATTATCTAATGAGAAGATGTAGCAATCTTTACAATTATTATAACCAGTAGTTGGATAATCTACATTATAGTAAAAACCGAATTTGCATGAATTGGTTGTGTAGATAAATCCTAATACCTTATTTTATTTGGGCATTTGATATTTTTAACCTAATCTGTATATTAATGTTGCATCGTCTAATGGTGGCAAAAATGAAATAAAAATATTGGAAGAGTATGTTTTCTCATAGGAATCCTTTTAGTTTTCCTTATTCTCATTATTAGGAATTTTCTTCATATTGCTTAACAGATTAACACTTTAATTATTTTTCCTAGTAACTCGTTTTCCAAAATTCTTAATCTCTTCAGTTAAAATTTTAATATTTCCAAAATCCATAATTTTATCGTCTTCATATTACTCTAACTACGAAAAAGGTAATTGTTTTAACTTATTGAAATCGCTGTTTTTCTTCATAATATTTAGTCTTGATTCACATTCTTAATAAAAATCCAATTTCTTTTATAAAATCTCAGTTAGATTACTCTATAGCGAATTCTATTTCTCTTAGAGTAAATTGATCAATTCTCCTATTTAATGTTCAATAAATTGCTTCATATATATTTACTAATTATGGATAAAAGAGATGCTCCTCTAACAAATTTTTAACAAATCGTCAACTTTTTTTTTATTTTATTGCTAATATTACCCAGATAACTTTTTATTACAAGTTTAACAAGGCTCTAAAATACCTTTTTTACAGTTTTCATCACATCTATAAGATTTACATTCGAAATCCTTATTAACTGCCTTTTAATTTATACAAACTGTGCATAAATTATCCATATATTATAAAATGATTATTAATTTAATGTTAATATGTTAGACTCACAAGAATAACAAGAATATTGATAAATTTTAACACATACTTAAAAAAATATAAATTTTTTATAAAAGAATTAAATGCTATCGATACAAGTTGTGAATTCTTCATAAGTAACTATCAATAATAAGAGTATTCCTTTTTTCATACATGAATTATTCTTGTACTTCAAACTTTTAATTATGATAATGCATAGACATATATAATATTTTAAATTCTTTCTTTAAGATCTTATGAATTTTAAGTAATTTTATTAATAAAATCAGACTGATTAGTTTAATGAATTTAAACTTATAATCGATATAAAAAGTAATAGAATTAATAGGGAATAAAAATATATATTATAAAAATTGGACGAATATTCGTTAATAGAATTAGATGAAAAAAGTATTTTTTTGAAATTAAAAAATAAATTAATGAGTATTGATATTCAAATAATTAAAAAAGTTTAATAAAGAGGGGAATATAAAAAAATAAAACCTGAATTAAAATTTTAAATATTATAAGAACTTGAATTTAATAGTATTAAAGAATTATCTAAGAAATATGGCATTGCTAGATAAACGATTGCCTCTTATAAGAAAGCAAAGGAACACATATACGACAGATTTAAGGGCGAAGTTTTATCTTTAGTCTATTATTTCGTTGATATGCGTTTGGAGGGTAATCCTACTTTATCAGAGCAAGCCATAAAGAAGGATATTAAATTGTTATTAAAGACTAGAGAATATTTCATCTATTCTGAGATGAATTTCTTAAAAGACTATATTCCAGAAACAAAAAAATATTCTCAAAAAAAGAGAATTATTCGATTTGTAATGAAATAGTCATTGTTTTATTTTAATTAATAAAAGTAAAAGTAATTGAGTAGAGTTGATATTCAGATTCCTTAATAATAATAGTAAATAATCTAAATCTAAGATCAGAGAATTTAGTAATAGAATTCTGAGTAAGAAGTCTAAATTAAATTTCCTTATTGGTATGTAGATGAGAGTTCATACATTTATTGTGATTTGCCTGATGAATGGTAAATTGAATGAACTTGAGTCATTTTTTATATTATATTAATTGTATATAAAATAAGTTTGTTACAAATTTTCGTAATATATTCTTAATATATATTAAAATAAAGGAAAATAATATATAAATTTGAAGTGTTTGAAAAGATGAATAAAAAAAGAAAGAAAGATTGATTTGCTATTATTAAGAGTTATGTTACTATTAGAGGTTACGTTATTATTAATGAATACTATATTGATTTGAAAAAGTAAATATAATTATTTTTCTATTAAATAGATTAATGGTAAAAAAGCAAAAAAACAAATAATTGAAAGTAGATAATAAATGTAATGTGATTAATATTAAAAATACTTATGAATTAAGAATTAAATCAAAATATTTGGAGGAAATTTTATTAAGGTATTGAGTTAGATAAAGCAGAATAAAATTACGTTGTTTCTCTTCTACCTCTAAATTCAAAAGGTGTTAGAATTGATATGTATGTTTATTCAAATGTTTCGAGAAAAATGTATTATATTCATTTATTTGAAACTAAGCAAGATGTATTAAAGTATTATTTGAAATTATTTCTTATATTTAAGGAGGAAATTAAAGAATCTCTATAATTAAAAGATCAATTATGTAGATATGATGAAAAATATTAAAATAATCTAGCACTTTTTAGAACTAAAGGATTAAAATTAAAAAGTATGAGAAAACTAATTGAGAGCTTTGTAAATCACAAACCTATATGCACAGGAATATTTGATACAAAATAATATGTATTCATAATGATTATTTTTAGGTATTAAGAAATAATATTTCATGTACTTTTAATATTAATTTACATTGGGAACCAGAAAAACATAGACCTATTTTATTAGATGATAGAATAGCATTTTTAAAAGAAGAAGAAAAAACAATTTAAAAAAAAGATGATGTTTAATAATTATCTTGGATCTCTTATAAATTACATTAATCAGAAGTGAAAAAAAATAAAGTCATTATTTTAGAAGATAATGAATAAAAAATTGAGTTTATTAAAATTGATTGAACATTTATGTAATTTTATAATTAAGTCAATCTGAATCTTATGATCCTTGAATATTTCCTTGAATTTAATAATAATTATCTCCAATTTTCTACATTTATTTTTTTGCTTTAATTCTTCTTTAATGCCAAAGTGTTAATACAATACTCAATATTATATGTAGCTTTTATAAATATCAATTTTACAATTAATGCAACAAAAATAGCTTCTTTCAATTTCGTTGGATCTGATTTCGGATATTTATAAAAGTTTGGTTAAAATTCAACTATAAAGTAAAGCGATATCTAATTTAGGATTATTACTATTATATTACAAAAAAAGGAATTGCAAAAACACAAACCACATTCATAAATTTTACACAATCCATTTTTTTAATTATATTAATTATTTACTTTAATCACATTTCACTATTCCTTATTCCATATATAATTCATTTTATCATCTCTTCATTACCATCTTCAATCAATTCATTCATCTATCATAATTAACCATAAACATAAAAAGGCGATTTCCAATAATATGATTTAATTTATTGCAAACACTTAAACAATTTGGTTGAATATTAATAAGTAGCTAACTTAAATGTAAAAAATAATAATATAAATAAATCACTGTTAAGTTTTCGTTAATCTCTTTATTTTAGTTCTAAATATTGATAAAATTCTTATTTATTTTTAAGCAGTCATTAAAAAAATGATTATTTATATGTATGTTATTCGATACATATTCTGTTTTTGTGCTATTATCTTGTAATTCAAAAAGGCATAATTTAATATAAAGAGTTGGTCAACCTTGTAAAAAAATTTATATGAAAACCAAAACACAAATTTATATTTTTCTGAAATAATTTATAGATTAAAAACTACAATTATATAATTATAATCAAGATTTTTATTTTGCATATTGCTATTAATTACAATTAATAATTTACATACAAAAAATAATAATAATATAAATGTAACTTAATACAATTCTGGAATATAGTCATTTTCGAAAAGGGTTTCTTAATTTTGGGAATTGCATTTTTTAAAGTCTTTAATAAAATAGATGATTACTAGTTAGTAATTGAAAGATCAGGTTTTATAAAATATTCATGTTTTAAACAACAATTTGCCTTAGGTCGAGTAGATTATTGAGAAAGCATAGATTTAAGTAAGTCTAAAGTTAAAGGACATGTGATTGATTTATTTAGTTTATAAGCATTCTGTGAATTTAAATCTTTTAATTGTTTTTATTCTAAAAATTAAGGGTATATTCTAGTTCCAGACAATAAGATGTGAAATATGCTTCCAACACTATAAATATCACTTGAGTAATCATAATATTGATCATTCAAAATTTCAGGGGCAATATATCCAAGAGTACCGCATTTGATTGACTTCGCTTTTGAATCATTTATAAATGCTGCACATCCGAAATCAATTATTTTTAGTGATTTAATATTGTTGAATTCTGTAAACATAATATTGTCTAATTTAATGTCACGATGGATTATTTCTTATTTTTGAAGATGTCGTAATCCCTTTAAAATTTATTTCATGATAATTTTAACTTCCGAATCTGTTAATTAAAATTACTTTTAAACTAAAAAATCATAAAGTGTTCCGCCTTCTTAATATTCAAAAACAAGTGCAATTAGCTCATGTTCTATAAATAAGTCAATTAAAGATATTATATTTCTATGTGGAAAGTTAGATAATTTACAATTTGTCTAAATTTCTGGGACAATATCTTCCTATTAAGTAAAAATAAATTTTACAAAATTTATCATCTTTCCTTCATAAATCTTGGCAACTTTTTTCTAATTCGAACCAATCTCTTGACAAAGTACAACCTTAAAATATTAACAGAAATTACTTTGCATTGTTTACTTTACTTTACTATTCTTTCAACCATGTATTTTTTATAGAAGTGGCATTCATTATATGCAATCATCATCTTAGTAGAAACAGTAGCCTTTGAATTCTTATCATAACTTTCTAAATATTTCTAGTTCGAATAAATGGATGTATTTGAGTAGCTAATAAACCTAGAATTTAGGTTTAAAAATGTATACCTGTTCTCAGTCTCTTAGATTGTTCGATTACTTTATTGCTATTTTAAGACTGGCCCAATTTCTTCCTGGTATTAAATGTATTAAAATACTGAAGACAATTAGTTTTTAATTTGAAATTTGTTGCTGCCTTCTTTAGATGAATACTAATGATGAAGATTGAGATTTTGAGTACTCATATATTTTTTTAAATATAGATAAAATTTAATACAAATACTTTTAAATATAATTGGATTTTGATAGGAAAAATTATTAAATCAAACAATTCGACTTTCTTGTATTTTAATTATTTTCCACTTTTCAGCCTTGATATTGAAATTTGTGATTCAAAATACATTTGAATACTTCAAATTTAACCACTAAGACTATTCGTTTTATCCAAAAACATAATCTAATTATAATTTTTGATTTTCAAAAGTGATATCCAGGTCTCTTATGCAAAATTCAAATGATGAGGATAATTGATGCTATCATTAAAATCATTTTAAATAATTTAAGTGATACATCAAGTCCAAACGATTTATCTCAATTATTTATAATAATTAATGAGGAGTCTTTAGAAATACAATTATTATAAACAATTAAGTAAATATAAACAATAATTTAAAGGTTATAGATCATAGATTTTTAAGTCAAAACTTTTAAAAGAAATTTATTTATATTTTTAGGAATTATAAGAAGTAATTTAATTTAAAAATATACTAAAAATCAGATATAACAATAAATTAAGTATGTATTCGAAAGTTTCTTTTTTTTGATTTGGTTAAACACTATAGAATTTGTAAGAAGGTTTCTATAATTTGAACGAATTTAAGAAGCTTCAAGCCTTGAGTTATTCGAATTTAATTTTCAATAGAAATATAATGAATCATAAATATTTAAATAATCATAATTAAACCTTAAATTATTAGATTCAAAAATTTTTCAATGCGAAGTAAAAAATTTGAAATTTAGTCATAACTAAAAACTTGATTAGCTCTCTTCTGAGTTGATTTGTTTAAATTTAAGCTATTTAACTCTTCAATAAATCTTTATTATATCCTCAACCTAAATATTTAGTTATATAAAAAATATCAAATTTACAATAAAAAGTTTCGTTTTCAAAATACAACAATAAGATAATATTTATGCTATTTTTACATATTGTTACAGAAATACAATATAAACTTATAATTAATAATGATAAAAAAACAATAAAAATAACACTATGTAATAATTTATCGTTCAATAATCTTATTATGAACTTTATCAATATTCAAATAGAAATTAAAAAATAGCAAGCAAAATAATAAGATTTGAAATAGATTATCTTAACAAAAAATAGTATTAATTAAATAAATTTAATGAAATATGCTGAAAAAAAAATAATTTGATAATCAGGAAATATCTCTAAGTTAAAATGAAATAAAAGTTTGAATTAAACTCGTATCAATATCATATGAAATAGTTAACAAATATCAAATTTGATAAGAAATTGTTTTAAAGTTAAACAAAAATAATTAAATCTAAAATATATCCTTATAAATGAGATCAAAATGTAGAAACTAAAAGAAGAAATAAAGAATTAAA